TGATTTTCTAATCATGATCATCATGACCAGAACCCAGCAGAAACTGTCGCTCTGTTTCTTCAATATTCCCACCACTTAATGAGCAGAAGCTAATACATCAGAATAGCATTTCGCTTGTAGTTTCAAACCAGCATCAAAATTTAGAATTAATTGAGGAGAGACCAGCCCTTGTTCTCCTAGCAACATCAGCAAAATCTTTGATCCTCCTGAATTTTTGGATCAGCGAGCTCAAATTTTCAAGTAAAGCCTTCTCCTGAATAGGTATCCAATTACATGGAAATGACACATCAGTCTGGCAAGAGACATCCTGGTACACTGACTGAAGCCTGTCAATTGACTCGATGAGGACAATTCTTAGCAAATTGCAGTACTCGGGTGATGACTCAACTCAACATCAAAGAACTATCCCAAGTAAATGTGGTCCTATCTCCAGGAATTTCCATATGCAACACCAGAGCCCCCTGAGATAAGACAACATCAAAATCAGAATCATATAACTTGCATTTAATGTCAGAATTTAGAACCCTAATTTCATTAAAAAAAATATATATATTTCACAATCCTCCTTGGAGGCATAGAGCTATTGACCATGGTGTTGTTGGATCTTGAACCCAATAAGGGTTTTTATGAAGTCACCAAATTAAATGTGCCTCAGTATTTGCAGAGTAAAAATAAGACAATATGTGTGTAATGAACAAAAAGAACAACTGAAATAGTAAAACCCCATACATAATTCCAAGATAGAAATTATGGACCTAGCAGGTCAAAATTCAACACACCCCATGAAATTGGTCAACCAGTAATAGGACAAAGTACACAAATCTTATGGGGGTGAAGGCTTGGAAACAAAAAGGAGAGTGAATAAGGAAGCGAGTAGTGACAAACAAAAGCATAGAAGGCAAAGAAAGCAGAGTAGGATTTAAATCAATGGCATACCTTCTACTATTTCAAACAGAATCCATGAATGGCACTCATAACAGAAATTGTACTAAAAATTCCAAAAAGAGAAAAAGATGTTGCTAAGTAATTTTCACAACTCTGCTGTAAGAAATACAAGATACATAATCCGTTCAAATTTGGATCCTGTGTAGAGTTATTCAAATATCTCACAACCTCATCATAATGATCCACATCAATTCAAACAAATAGACCCAAAGCAAAATGCAAAACCAAAGTCAATGAAATTGCAGCCAGTGGCAATTAAATGGAGTATTTTGCACTTCACATTGACTAAATATATTTAAATTTATCCAAGAAGTCCATATTCTCTAATCATAAACAATTTAACTTATTGCGGAAGAAACTGTTCCTCTTAACAAGATCAATCCAACAACAGAAATTTTGCCAGTCAAGCATGGAATGATACAATAATTACCTTAGATTTCTGCCACGTCAAACCCGTCTTCATGTTCCTCCTCTTCTTTGCTTTTCTGATCATAAGTATCTTTATCAGAGCCCAAAGGCAACTGTTGTTCTTTTTCTGTGTTATTTCCACCACTTTTTATGAGGGAAAGCTGATCCATCGTAATAGCATTTCGCTTGTAGTTCCAAACAAGCATTGAAATGTAGTCCTGAGATGAAACCAGACCTTGCCTTCTAATGCTACATAGTTGATCCTCGAGAGTTTTTGGATCATCAAGGCTTATATATTCAAGCAATGCCTTCTCATGATCAGGTATCCAATTACTTGGAAATGGGGTGTAATCAGTCTCAGGTACAAGAGACATCCTGGTCTACTGAAGCCCATCAATTGACTCGGCAAGGCCCATTCGTAGCAAATTGCGGTAGTCAGGTGAAGACCCTTTCTTCTCCTTCAAAGGATGACTCAGATTCCTGGAACCAATCTTATACACCTTTGCACGTGAACGCAGCTTGTATTTTGCAGCATATAGCTTTGCAAGTGAACCCCTTATAATGTATGAACAGAAGTTCACAATTTTCTTCCTATTGTCAGCATATCTAAACCACTCAACCATTGTTGACAAAAATTTGTTCATTTGTGCATTTGTATGAGATTGAGTGGCATGGAACATTCTAAAACAAGGCTGTGGATCTGGATCCCTGTCCCCCTTCAGAAAGTTCAACTTCCTAAATTGCTTAATGCATTGTTTCAAGCTTGCTGTGACCGACAAAAGGGTGCCCACACCTTTTTCACTAATGATCTTCCCACCAGTGGCAGTGTACCGTAGAGTTGGATACACAACTCTGCGGCACAATACATGATCAAGAAACATTATACCTTTAGTTATGTGCTCAATTGGGAGGCTCTCATTGTCAACCTTGAGCATGTATTTCTGATCAACAAACTCAATCAATTGCTTCCTCAATGTGGCTGCATCTGCTCTCGGTCCTCGCACACCAATCAGGATGTGACCCCCGTATCTTACATAATCCATCTTCCTGGTTTTGTCTGGGCCACTTGTAGGCACAAATTCTGGCCAGGATGTATTCCCCTGTTCTGCTTCCCCTTCTGGACTATTCCATATGACATCACTCTTTGAAGGACGATAAAACTCCTTAAGCTTACCCTCCATCCACTGGTCCAATTCATCTAAGCAGATGTTAGCCAAAAGAGGACTGAGTATCCCACAGTGTCCCCATGAAGGAATCTTCTCTGCCTCCTCAGGTGCAAACCCAAAAAAGGTGTCTAACCAATATGGATCTGGCTTTGGCTCATCCTCTGCCAAAACCCTCTTTTTTTTTATACTTCCTCTTCGTCTTCTTCTTTGGCTCTTCCATGCGACTCGTGATCACAGGTGTAATCAATGCTGCCTTTATCAAATCAATCACTTTCTTATCCCTCACACCCCTCATTAAAGCACTTATCACTAACCCCACCTTCATTCCATCCAATATTTTGCTGAAATCCCCTTTTATATACCACAAATACCCAGCAAAATTCCTCCTAATCACCCTCAACACTGTATGTGCATTTCTACCAGGTCTAAAAGCAAAAGACTTTTGCGAAAACCGTGCTTCATATATCGGCTCCAAAATCATAAATAACACCTCCTGAACTATCTTATCCTGAAATGCTGCCGGTTGTGTGGTTGTCAAAATTGCCTTAATCTTCCTCTTCGACAAAGATTGATAGTCAGTCTTATCCTTCGGAGACTTTATAAGAAAATCCAACCTAGCACCCCACTTAAACCTATTATCAAGAACTGCATTTCTAAGAGCTAGCAAGTCCTCCAATAAAGACCTTTGTATCGCACTACGGGGCATATAGGCTCCCATGTCATCAGCACACACTTTCTGATAAGCCAATACCCACAGTTCAAAACGGCGAAGATAAGTGGTCAAATTGCTCACAATTCTATCTGGTTCTCGAAAATTCTCAATCCACATTTGAGAGCAAACTGAGACACCATCTTCCTTCATCAGGTTGGATGGGTCATCAGGGTCCTGCGCACGCCTGTGCCCCGGAGTGAATGATAGTAAGCGAAAGAAAGCGAACCCATTAGTCCTAGGGTTTAAGGGATTGCATTGAGAGTACAAAAGGGTAGTGCTGGTGGCTGTTGTGATTGGAATAGAGTTAGTGTTAACGAGGACTTTGTAGGTGAATACTGCAAGGCGACGATGCATTTGGTGATGGTGAAATCAAGAACAACCCTCTTTTTTAGGTCATTTTTGGGTTTATAATGAACATTAATATTACAAAGGTGAGCATAAAATATGAGATAAAACCCAATTCAAAGATAAACAATGAGAAACTGGGCGTTCAATGCAGTGAAGAGAGAATTTGAGAGGTAAAAGTAAAACCAAACCCTGGCTAAAACCCTGAAAACTTCTTTTTCCTTGGAGGTTTGGGGATTCCTGGTTAAGAAAATATATAAGTTTTTTAATAATTGCAATTGATATTTTAGAATTATTACAATATATGTCTATAAATTATTGGATTTTCCATAGCTTCCATACATTATTAAATATAGGTATAAATATTATTTTAAACGATCAATGATTCGAGAAATATACACGATGAAATACAATAATAGATAATATATGTGAATATATAAGCAGGCTCGGATTTTTCATTAAACTGAAGAAAATGTTCTGTGCTCCCATGAGATAAAAATGTCTCCTATAGCATCCTCATGAGCCGGATTCATATACCCAGCTGTATGGATAATTTCACCATCCCTTGAAACTTGTACATGATGAGTTGAAGTTTTATCACCCATTTATATGTAGTGAAGATCTGAATTTCCATTTTGTCGAGCAAGATTCAATTTCCATTAATTCTCTTTATTTCTCTCAACAAATCATGAATTGATTTGTGTTTTTTATTTTATTTTTTCTATACAGTTTTGGCAGTGGTTATAATACCTTGAACGAGAATCGAGATAGAACGGCAAAGTTTTCAACTCTGCGGAAGAATCCATGCCTTATTCTTGGATGGGATTGCAGATTACAGGTTGTCTTCTAAATTTTAAAATATATTAAAATAATAATTTTTTATTTTTAAAATTTTATTTTTAATATTAATACATTAAAATAATTTTAAAATACTAAAACAAAATTAATTTGAAGTAAAAAAATAAAAATACTTAAATTTTTTTAAAATACTTTTAAAATATAAAACAAACACAACCTTGATAATTTTTTTAAATTTAACAAAAAGCAGTGTGATTAAATTTTTTTGGTTTTAAGTTAATTTTTTTATATTTTTATATTATTTTGAAGTGTTAATATTAAAAATAAATTTTTTTTTAAAAAAAATTATTATTTTAATATATTTATAAATAAAAAAAATTTAAAAATAAGACACTAACTACTTAAACCATGAACAACAAAGAGAGATTTTTGAAACAAACATAAAAAAAAATATATTAAAAATTATATATAACAATGCTTTCTGAAAAAATAGTAATATATTCAAAATAATTTTGCCGAAGTAGCATCTCGGGAGTTAAAAAATCGCATGAAAAAAATAAATCCCTTCCGGTATAAAATGTTTGTGACTGAGACAGTATTTTGCTCTTCTTGTTTGTTTTAATCATTTTGGTAAAGACCCTAGGGGATCCAAACAGCCAAAACTCTAACCCGACTCGACCTGTTAGCAGTCCAAAATCGGGCTTCTCTTTCTAAGGTGCCTTCTCCACTGCTCCATCACCAATCACAGACACAAAGTATTAAAAAGCACATACCGACTCCTATAGATCTCCTCCTCTCTCCGATTTGGCTGATCAACTATTATACAGATCCCTGAAAATATTAAATATATAATGGCACCAGTCTCAGCTCTTGCGAAGTACAAACTGGTATTTTTGGGAGACCAATCAGTCGGTAAAACAAGCATCATCACTCGCTTCATGTATGATAAATTCGATAACACCTACCAGGTAGAACCCATATCATTATTCTGTGCCTAGCACTCAGATTGATTTTTTTTTTGTTGGCTGATTTGTACTATTGTTTTGATATACCCATTTTTGGGTTTTGAAGTTGCTTGTTCTTTGAAAGATCCCACTATCTCATAATTGAACTCGATCTTCTTTTTTTTAGACCTTTCTTCTTACAACAATCAAGGAATCATATTGTTTTCTGGGTTTTTTTGTTTTTGCTATAAAATGGGGATACTTAGTCGTTAGAAAATCGTAACTATAAGTTAAGAGCTTTGCCCTTGTTGATGTTCAATCTCTGTTATTCCTGCCTCGGTGTTTTCGTTCTTCATTTTTTTGGGAAGTTGGTCAGATGAAGGGGCCTTTTTTGTAGTCACTATGATTTGCTTATTCGTTATTTCAAAAGTAGTTAATCTGTGATGTTGATCTAACTTATATGTATCTTGGAACTGATGAACAGGCTACCATTGGCATTGATTTTCTATCAAAGACCATGTACCTCGAAGACAGAACTATTCGTTTGCAGTTGTGGTTAGATCCATCACCTCACGGAACTGATTTTTTGTTTTCGTGTTAGAAATGCAATATGCATATTGCTTTTGTGCGTGAATCCTGCACTGAACTCTTTTCTTGAGAGGGGCTTTATCTATTCAGTTCTCGGCGGACAGGATTAATGTTGAATGGCTTGCGTAACTATATCAGTACCATGATTTATTTAGCAATGTGTTCTTGCGTTCAGTTGAATTTCTAGTGCTCATTCATGTCCGCATGGACAACAAAATGCTGTAAAACAGAGAAAAATAATGTTGCGGGCTTTAGAGTGCTATTTCTTTTCCAAAAAATATGCACAAATTTTATGATTGCAGAAGCTTTGTATTGAGTCAAAATGAATGGCAATCCATTAAAGAACTAGGAGGGATAGGCATTCTTAAAGAACTAGGAATGGAGATTTGCACATTAGTAGATGTGAGGGACCATATTATTATCACTATCTTCATAAATCTGATTGCAGTATTTTGTATAGGCCAATGCATATGTGTATGCACAGACCTATCTTTTTGTATATATAGTTACACAAATGCATATGCATGTATTATCAATCCTTGTTCTTATTGATTTTTGTGTGGCTTACTATTTCTCATGGAAACTCCTCCTTTGTGGATGATAGACCTTTTGCTTCTGTATGCTTGCAGGGATACAGCTGGACAAGAAAGATTCAGAAGCCTCATACCAAGTTACATTAGAGATTCCTCAGTTGCCGTCATTGTATTTGACGTTGCAAGTATGAAGTTTTTTAAGTGTCATTTATCCATCTTAAATAAATTGGTGCTTCAAGAGATCAAGTCAAGTCACTTATCTTGTTGCTAATTCCCTGATTGGCATGTTGGTTTCGTGAAGTCATAAACTTGTTTGGTCATGTACTCTTATTGCAATCAAGACTCATTGGTCTTTTTTTCTTTTATACTCATCAAACAAACTTTCAAACTATTTGTTTGGAAAAAGGAATCCATGTCTCATGGATGTTTCCTAACTTGATGGTTCATGATTCAGGTCGGCAATCCTTTCTGAATACTTCAAAATGGATTGAAGAGGTTCGAACTGAGAGGGGCAGCGACGTCATCATTGTCCTTGTTGGGAACAAAACTGACCTTGTGGAGAAAAGGTGAATGCTTAATGACAAGCATTACCATGGTCATTGTTTGCTGTTTTTGATGCTCTCTTTGTGCTCTGGGTCACAGTCTCACACACTCAAGTAGAAACACTGTTTTCTGGAATTATTTCCTACTGGTCCACTTTTGCTTGATCTTAGCCACTCATTTTGGCTTGTAAATTTTTGGTCCTAACAATTACCGAGGGATGTGAATTATTTGATGTTTTCCCTTGCTGCAGTCTGATCATTTCGGTCTTTCATTTGCATTGCCTCATGTTAATTAACATTTCATTATATGGATGATTTGACAGGCAAGTTTCTATAGAAGAAGGAGAAGCTAAAGCTCGTGAACTTAATGTCATGTTTATTGAAACTAGTGCAAAAGCTGGTTTTAATATCAAGGTATGCTCTCAAGCACATTGTCCTCCTCTATATGGCCTCCTGAAAATGTTGAGTTTTTCATGAGCCTAAAATGAACACAATTCTTTGCCCAATATGTTTTTTGAGTTAATGGCCAATGGTCTTTGAGAAGCGAGAAAGGGGAGAAAACAAAGAAAGTCTGGGCTGGATGAAAAATCAGTTGCAGGTCTATCATATGTCTTTTTCCGTTTTCAATCCATGGAGAGTAGATTAGGGGTATGACATTTTTTTTCCGGAAATGACATGTTTAATTCCTCACAACTTGTCCAAAGGGTTCCATGTCTCTTCTCCACCTCCCTTTGCCTCAGCAAACCCATTAGGAAAGTAGGCTTGCATATTAAATCTGTTGTTGGCTAATTAATTATTCTCTTTGGGATAAAAGAACAGGCCCCAAACTTGGCTATGGATTCGCTTAAGTTTTACAGGATCACGCTCTTCCCTTCTAATTGCATATTCTATTAACTTTTTCCCTCAGTTACGAAGTATCAACCAGATATAGTCCAGATGTCTACCTTGTCTAATGGTAGGGATCTTTACATGTCTGGGATATCAAAGAGAAGGAAGGAAATCTGATGGATGGGCTTCCCATCTTTCATTTATCCATCTCTTGAAGGTGTCCGTCATTGCCCAATAGCATGCATATAATGATTATCTGAGCTACATCTGGACTCAACATATTTTTTTCTCTATATGTAGGGGGGTAAATGTTTGGAAGAAAGCTACAGTTAAGCAATTTTGCCTTGGGAGTTGAAAGAGATCAAAACTATTTTTTTATCCTGACAACTTTCTTGGAATTTGAATTTGTTATTTTGGATTCAATGCCTTAGTGTCCTTGATGTGACTGCAGTTTTCTTATTCAGCGCTTATCTGTTTAAATATTCATTGTTGTTGGTATTTTATCTCTTTGTTGATGAAATTTGGTGCAGCCTTTGTTCCGAAAAATTGCTGCAGCGTTGCCAGGAATGGAGGCACTTTCTTCAACAAAGCAAGAGGACATGGTTGATGTGAACCTAAAGTCTACTGCTGGATCTGCCTCCCAGACTCAGGCTCAGTCAGGTGGATGTGCTTGTTGATGCCCTGAAACTTTGCACCGTTGCTATGACACCGTCCCTGCCGGAATTTTCTACAATATTTCACTAATATGTAAATGACTGACATATTTCTTCATCTTTTTTTCCCATTCAATTTGGGTAGCGTTCCCGTGTGTTTGAGGAACTCTCTGGTAACACTTGAGTAGTTGAAAACTAGGAATAGAAAGACTTGTGATTGGGGTTTTCTTGTGTTTCTTGGGTTGGTTATAGAGTCATAGGTTGTGGAATACGCAGTGGAATTACAGGCTTCCATAGGCTTTTCTTTCTTTGTTATGTTAAACGATCTGGTAATATTATGCGTACATCACATGCATATTGGAGTTATGATTTCCTCTCTGAGTTCACCAACTTGATGGCCTGATGGGTCTGTGGTGGATAGCAATGCCACCTCACTCTTCCGAAAGTCTAATGGCAGCTTCATCTTTCTTGTAAACAAGTTGGCGTTTTAGATCATTGAACCATGTTTTGCAGATAGCTCAAATTTGCCTCATGATCAACTGTGATCCCAGTCCTGTATGCTTTGTCCTATAAAGACTATGATCGTCGTTGAAGTTGTCCAGAACAAACCAGCACCTTGTACAATAGGGACCTTGCTATTATTTAAAAAGAGGACTCGGACTGCTTGGAGTAAGCTTCTGTTCGCTTCTGTATTTTGTTTAATCACGGGGGGGGAACTGTTCGTTTAGCCGAATAATTTTTGTTTTTTGCATTGACTATATAAGTAATTGTGTTTTAAATTTTAGTTTTATAAAAGATGAAATAACATTTTTTATTTATAAAGATTTTATTTATTTATTTTACATGTCAAAATTTATTTTGAAACAGTTTTAATTTTAATATATTTTTTAAAAATTTATTTTATTACAATCACAACTAAAAGTATTAAGAAGGTATTTTTAAAAGTTAGAATCGCAAAACCTATTATAATATAACACACTTTCAAAACCTTGCATAATGCTTCCAAGTAATATTTGTATTATTAGATTTGATTTCACCTGTTAAAATTAGTTGATATAAATATTATAGATGATGTTGGATTAAAAATCTAATAAATAAATATGTTTTAAAAACATTTACTAATAGAGATTTTTAAAAAAGCTTATGTATTTAAAAAAAAAAAAATTTATTTATTTATTTTAAATTAATATGTTTTTAGTATTTTCAAATCATTTTGATTTTGATATTCTAATATCAAAAATAACTTTAAAAAAATAAAAAATTAATTAATATATATTTTAATACAAAAAATTATTTAAAAAATAACCATACTTTTTCCAAACTAAAATTAACTCATTAGCCAAGTGCAAGAAACCTTGTATAAATATTATTTTTCCTCCTCTCAGCTGCACAACTGCCCTGTCTTTTTTTTAATTTCTTCTTCAAACTTCGGATAGTTGTCAATTGTTTTTCTCTCAATCGCCGATGCTCTTTGCTTTCGTGTGCCACACATTTAGCTTTCGATTGGGTCAGTGTGAAGCTTTGGGTTTCTGCCTTAAGTTCGCATGTGACTGTCGTACTCTCTCCCAAGTTAGTTTTCTGGTCCTTCGCCCTTTCTTGCTTTAAACTGACCCCAGCCAGAACATAAATATTCAGAACATTTTTTAGAAGAAAGAAGTTTGGCAAATAAAGCAGTTGAACATGAAGATTCTTTCTGAATCATCATCTACCAAGGCCAAATCCCGAACTTTGGCAAGCTTATAGAACTTCTTTCTTTTTAACCATGTCTGCAAAAGTTAACGTTACTTTTCATGGTAACTAGCAGAAAGACCCATTTTATTGTTTTGACTTTTAAGGAAGAAACACAAGTCAACTAAGTTTTAAGGTACATGCAACATGAGACATGCACTGGAGAAAGGATTTGCATGGTAATAATAAGGTAATTTATTCTATATACTACTGAATTTCTTTTCTATTTTCTTGTTGCCCGCTATTCGTAAAACCTGGAGGTTAGAACTTCCCATTCTATCTTCTTATCTTCTTTTTCTTTCCTTCTTTATTTATGGGAGAGCATCTAAAGCTCCTGCGAAGATCCAGTATAATGGATCCTTATAGAATCACTTAAATGACCATGAATAAGAAGAAAGTGCTAGGTCGCTAAAAGCTGGCAAATTTGAGAACAATTGCCATCTCCATGGAGCTAACTATAATCAGAGCAAGGACTTGTAAGAAGTTTATTTTGATAAACGTTGATGGGTGAGGTATTCACAGCGCATAAATAGTGCAGCTAAATTATTTACATACAGCGAGACTGAGCATGTGAATGATACACAGTGCTATATCAGATAACTGGAAGAGATTGTAATTCTCTTCTGTCAATGGAGAAACCACTCCTGTCTTCTCTGAGAACCCTTCTTCGCAGGTGGTTGATGCTTCCATAACTGCACCCACCTTCACTTCAGCGACACTATAATGTTCTGTCAGAAATGCTGCCACACCATCTACTATTGTCACAAGAGCATCTGCATATAGTTCCAAACAATCCTGTAAGGCAACCAAGGCAAAGCGGTCTAAAGTTTCATAACTCAACAAGTACTTAATGGTTGAAATGGTGTTGGTTGCATTTTCCAGAGCTAGTTCCAAGCCAATTATTGCTAGTCCGTGAATATTTGTCACATGGCTGACGGGAATTGCTTGGAGAGAGCTTATACAAAAGTCATAGCTGAAAGTTTTGGAATCCTCCGCACATTTTTTGCAGGTTCGGTTTGTTATATCGATGGTCGAAGCATCAAGGGTTGAAATGCTATTGTTAGGAGTAGGAGTTACTAAGAAGAAGAAAAGGAAGCAAAGAGCAAAGGAAGAGAAAGAGATGTGGTTCATTTTGATCTCTACTTGACATTTTTCGGCCTCTTTTGTTTATATAAGCATATGGTTTTAGACAAGGAGTGGCGTGCAAAATGTTTCAGGGGAAGCTTCCGATTCAGTCAGGGTATCGATTCCTTTCTACTGATGAGAAAACAACATGGCCAATACTTGAAAACATGAGGAGCTTTTGGCTAAATCTTAAAGGAAAAGATGCTGAATGAGTTCTGAGAATTGTTGGACACAGGATCGTGCACAGGTATAAATACGTCTATTATGGGAGGGGAGATCTAATAAAGGAAGCTTCCGAGAAGGTCACTAGTGCAAAAGAGTATACGGAAATAACTTGAACTGCAATCAGAAAAATGTAAAAACGAAAGTATAAGAGAACCAAAAAAAAGGGGAGGATGGTTTTTTCAAGAGGAATGAAGAGGAATGCTTGAATGCCAACTAGCTACCCTTACACTAGAATTTTAAGAATTGCCTAGAAATTAAGAGGAGGAAAACATTAAAGAAGCATTTGCTTTGTTCTCAGATATCGTAGACTATAATTTGAAGTAATTTGTACGCAATTATTTATCAAATTTAAAACAAGAAGCTAGTGTTATGCAGCTTCTCAGTTAGGAAAAAACTTGGAACGAAGTCATGAAGTTTCGTTAGGCGAAAAGTGCTGGTTTGGAGCTTCACTAACAATCCAGCAGTCTTATCCTTCTGTATAGTTCATTTGAGTGTTTTAAGGAGAAATTTGGGAACGTATTGTTGAATACTTCGATTAATCATACGATCTTGATCGTAACAATGACTGTTACTTTTGTATCTTCTTTCTTTTCGGAGAGGTTTTTTTATAGCATGTACACTAGGTCAAACACACACACACACACCCAAAAAGACGCAGAAATAAGCGTTCATGTGAAATTATGTGAGATCATTGTGAGAGAGAGAGAGAGAGATTCATTCATTATAATGATTGTTTATAAACTCCAAAGATTACAAACGATGAAGGGTGGAGATATTAGACTTCGATTTATGTTTTAGGTTTTAGATTTTGTTTGTTTAATGAAAATTAGCTTATTTTTAAGTGATTTTAATAAAAAATAGATTTCTAAAAAGTAAATTATTCTTGATATTTGGTAGCATTATATAAAATAAGTTAGAAAATATTTTTCAATATTCGATTATGTCATTAAAAATAAGTTATAAAAACTTATTAATATTTTTTTTTAAGTTTATTAAAATAATGAGAATAAATCTTACAAATTGAAAAGTTTAATAAGAATAAATTTGAAAGAAAATATAATTTTATAAATTATCTCCAATAAAATAAATAACAATCAAAATAATAGAGATCAAATATAACATATAAAAAAATAAAAGATAATGAAATTAAAATAATAATTATTATTATAATTTCATAAATTATTTCAAATAAAATAAGTGACAACTAAAAGAATGAGGACTAAATTTGATAGATAAAAAATTTTAATTAAAAAATAATAATAAGAGAAAAGCAAATAACAATTATAAAATTAAGGACCAAAGTTAATATAAAAATCAAATTATAAAGGATGAAATTGAAAAAAAAAGATTCAAAACAAAATATATAGCAATCAAAAGTTTGATAATCAAATTTGTTATAATCAGTAAATAATATGATATTTTTAAATTTTTCACAACTTTTAAAATGTTTTTTTTCATCCAAAATAAAAGAAAACATTTTCCTGAAAACCAAACAAAATTTTTCTTTGACTAGAAAGTGTTTTTCTTTAATTAATTTTTCTAATAACAAACAAATACAAGAAAGTTTGAAAAGTGATTTTCAAAAAATTACTTTCACTAAACAAACAAGGCCTTTGTTTAATTTATTTGATTTTTTATTTGAGGTTTATTAATTAAACTTTATTTGTTAGATTTTATTTAATTATTTTTAAGTATTTTATTTAGTGTGCAATAAGTCCTATTATTAGTTCTAACAAAATTTTGGCTTGTAAATTTTTGGTCCTAACAAATACCAAGGGATGCTCTCAATCGGATAATCTACTAAAATTATAAGAAATAAATTTAAAATACACCATAAGTGTGATGGCCCAGCAGATCCAAAAGACAAAATCATTGAAAAAGAAAAAGGGAAAATAATCAAGTTAGGAATATTGAAAAGGCAAATATTCATAAGTATATTCAAGTACATGAAACAATAAAAATAAGAAGATCTCAATAAATTATATATTTATAAGTACCTAAAAATAGTAAAAATAAAAAGATGGAACCAAAATGAGATAGCTATCGATAATATTTTTTTCATATAATATATTGCTTGCTATCATTAGTGAAAACAAGGATATTGAGCTTAAATATATTAAAGAATATCTATGTAAAAATGATTAGATAAAATAAAATAAAGCAATCTAGACATAATTAAATTCAATTATAAAATGTAAAATTTTTGGACTTGTAATCCAAACACTTGAAGGTGTAAAGCTAGTTGGATACAAATGAATATTTATGCAAAATTAAAATAAAAAAAATATGGATACAAATGAGTATTTATGCAAAATTAAAATAAAAAAAATAAAATCATAAGATATAAAATATGATTAATAGCACAAGGATTTTCATAAAGACCTAGCATTAATTACAATAAAATATATTTTTTTAATAATAAATACAATTATATTTTAGTATCTCATTAACTTGGCACCTCATGAAAGATTAGATATGTATTTTATGGATATAGTTACCACTTATTTATATAGGTTAATTGGTAATAATGTTTATATAAAAATCCATGAAGGATTTAAAATGTATGAATTATTTAGTTTAAATTCCTAAAAAATTTACTCAATCAAGTTGTAAAAATCATTAAATGGATTAAAATAATCAGGACAATGTCGTATAATCTTTTTAGTGAATATTTATTGAAATAAAGGTATGATATTGATTTTATATGTTCATGGATTTTTTATAAAAAAGTTAGAATATGATTTTGCTATTTATTGTTATGTATACTGATGATTTAAATATAATTAGAAATAGAAAGTGCTTAAAAGATTTTATATCAATAAAACATATCGATTAAGTACTCTTAATGGTTATTAGATCACTTAATGTAAAAAAAAAATCATTTTAGATCAAATAATAATAATCATGAATCAAATGGATATGTCGATGTATGATATTTATCTGATTCATCTAAAGGTCAATTTTAAATAAGTTATCTCTTTACATGTGGTAACATTGTTATATTATGGAGATCTATAAAGCAAGTATTAGTTGCACTTTTATGTGTGGTTGAAATTGATGACTTAGTATATTTAAGAAAAATGTGGTTTATTCTCTAATAAAGAAACTCAAATCATATTTGATGGAGATAATGTTACATATATAGCTTAATTAAAAAAATGAGATAAAATAAAGGACATCTCATCAAAAATCTTTTTCATACATGATCTTAATAAGCATGGTGATATTAATGTATAACAAATTTATTTAAAAAATAATCTAGCATATTTATTTATTTATTAAAATATTATCAACTACAATGTTTAAAATACTACAACATAATATCAGAATGTAATAGCTTAAAGACTTAAGGTAATATATTTATGAGTGGGAGTTAATACATGTTGTATTCTTTTTTCTTTTGCCAAGGTTTTTTTTTTCAATAGGTTTTCTCAAGGTTTTAAAAAGAAAATTTTTAATATGCAAGAGTGAAAAAAAAAACATATAAGAGAGAGCACTCTAAAACCACATATTATATATTACATATGAGTGTATATTTATTTATTTTTACCTTTTCATCTTCATGTTTATTCTTTATCTCCAAGTTAATTTAAATTCTATATCTTTTTATGATATTTATCCTTATAAGTATTAATGTGCATTAAACTATAAATAGAAGTGTTGTAGATATGATATTGTGGTGTGACTATATTTATAAGATTATATAAAATAAGAATGCTTTTTCTATGTTACTCTAATCTATATTTTATTTATTTATTCTATTTTCTTTAGTATATTGTCTCTTTCTAGATATATAGTTTTATAATAAATCTCATGTTCGTTGAGCATTAATCAAATACTTTAATATATTGTTTGGTTATTAGAAAAACAAGATTTGGAATAAAAAATAAAGAAATTTAAATGAAAAGTAAAAAATGGAATCACATTTTAATTCTAATTTTATGTTTGGCATAGTAATAAATAATCATAATGAAATTTAATTTTTTTTTATATATCTTATTATTTTTAAGATGAAAATGAATAATAATTATTAAATGATATCATCAAAGTAATAAGATTAAATAGATGATCATGATAGTAATAATAATATAATAATTAAAATTATATATTTTAAGAATTAATGCCACCATGAGAGGAAGTGGCGATGAAAGAAAGATGGTGGAGTGAAAGCGGTGCGGATGTTGGAAAAGTGGACATTCAATAATAATAATAATAATAATAATAATAATAATAATTTTTAGAAAAACGTAATCACCACAACCAATAAAAATAAAAATTTTAATAGCAATATTAATAATAATAAATAATATAATTTTATAATAAAAAAAATCACTTATATTATTTTTTTATCCTTACATTCCTGTGAGAGAGAAAAAATTTAATTTTTATTTTCATTCTTACTTTTCATTTTTATTTTTTTCAATCAAATACCTAAAACGTGATGATAAAACTTTTATTTTCATTCTCACCCTTCCATTATTTGTTAGCCAAAAACGTCTATTTCTCCTTTTCATATTATTAGTCTTCTTATACACACACATATACATACATACATACATACATACACACACATGCAAGTAGATTTACTCAATTAGACATGAATTGGTCCATGAAATCACATTTATCTTGTCGTTTCATTTGCCTCTCATGCCTAGAGGTAACATGAGGATGCTGTTGAATTAATACGAGAGTAATGTTGAATGATCATCATTATAGTTTTAATTTAAGAATTATTTGTGAAAAAAGCAAATACTGATAAAGATATGTAAATCTTCAAAGCGCGTTCCTATGAATGAATTGCTGGCAAATACTTATTATTCTTTTAATTTTTTCTGATATAATTCTGATATATATACATACAGTCAATTTGTGCCTCCCAATTTTCAAGGTTCCTTCCTTCATTGCTTGCATCATCACCAACCCAAAGACTTCTTTTAGGTACCATTTTTGAAGGAGAATCATTCATTTCATGGCGTAAGTACAATATATCGAAAGTTCTTCAGAAAGAGAACTTTATTATATTGAAGGAAAATAAGTTAATTAAAGTTTTATGATTAATCAAAAGAGTCCAAGGAAGTATATTACCGTTTCAGGGTTATTATAAACTTTAATCGAAGGGTATTTTAACGAAATCGTGTGTTTTAACACATTAATTCTTACTATTTAAGGACTATTAAAAACTTTATTTGAAAATTATTTTCATCAAATTGAGGCTAATAATTAACTAATTGAAAAATAATACAAGGAATTAGTGTATTACCTTTTCAAGTTTATTATATAATAATATCTCAAGATTATTACAAACTTTCTTAGGGATACGAAAGCATGCCAGTCTTGCTATAACATGAGGCTTATAACTAATTTAAAAAACACAGACAAATAAACCCACACCATACAATTAAAACAAGAAGATTATATTTAATTATTTCTAAAAGAGAAATACGAAGATTATGTAATTCATATGATATCATAAACATATAGAGGTTTACCCGCGACTCCAACATGAATATATGAGAGTTATGATCGACTTAACATGTTGATAAAAGCAAGCATAATTGCGGTCAGTTGAAAAAAAGTGTCGTTCTCCTTTGTCAAGGGAGAGACCACGCCTTCCCTCTCCTTGAAACCATCCTCGCAAGTACTTGAAGAATCCATGGCGGCACTGGCATCTATGTTAGCTTTGGAATAATCTTTGGACTTCAAAGCACACATGGAATCATGCAACGTGGAATTTGCATCCGCGTAAAGCTCTAAGCAATCTTGTAAGGCACTCGTATAGTATTTGTCTAAATTTTGGGCTTTCAAAAGTTGTGAAATGTAGCAGCTAATGTTTGTAGCATTTGACATGGCTAGAACTGTTGAGATCTCCACCAATTCTTCAAGGCTTGCCTCTTTGCTCTTGGAAATGGCTTCAAGGGATGCTATACAAAAGTCACGGCTCAGATTTGGATCGCTCCTTGCGGCTTCGTTGCAATAATGATGCAAGTTGTTAAAGCTCAATGAACCATGAAAAAGTAGGAATACAATAACAAAGTTGAAACTCAACGAAAAGGAGTGCTTCATGTTCCTTTGCGTAGGAGTTTGAAGATGGACCCTCTGTAGCAAGCATGAACTGGAAGAATGTAAAGGTTTTCTTCTTTTCTGCCCATATATATATATATATGGGCAGAAAACCAAACATCCTCCTTCGTTCTTATTTGATTTCTGTGGGCAGAAAACCAAACATCCTCTTTCGTTCTCACTTGATTTCTGTTTGGATTGTTGTTGGCTATACGGCACTACAAACTTTTGTAACCAAACACCCTCTTTCGTTCTCACTTGATTTCTGTATGGATTGTTGTTGGCTATACGGCACTGCAAACTTTTGAAGGCCATATCGTCGCATGTTACTCGTTGATCAAATAAAATGCAGACATTGACTTCTTCGTAGAATTATGCAATCTTCCTGACTTGTAACATGGTGAGAGTTGAATTTGCCATATGGCTTGTCTTCGTTTACTTTTTTTTTTTCTTATTCCTTTTTGGGTTTCTTTAGGCAATCTTTTCTTCTTCTCAAATTGCTTTATTTTGAGCATTTATATTTCATGTATGCATATAAAAATGGGATTAACTGGCTAGGGGAGCTGGCCATGTGGGGTTAACGCTATGACTGATGACAGAAGCTGGGAGATAGAATAGGCTCTTTATTTGTTTTTCCAAGACTAAATACATAATTATTAGGTAAAAGATCAGTCTTAAGGAAAGACACAACGTGGGGTGTGTTCCGCGTAGAGCGACAGCAGGTCTATTTTTAAAAAATTATGTGTTATAAAAAGATTTTGATATAATCATAAAATTATTATGGTTATGATTTAGGAATTGTTACTTAATATTATGATAATAAAAAAAAATTAATGATACATAAAAGTTTGAATAAAAAATTACTTGTTCAAGAAAAAAATACATTATTTATAACATACCTTACTTGAAATAAATAATATTGTCGTTTGATTGTTTTTCTAAGTCATGTCTTTATTTATTGATCTTGTCAAAAGTTTAAGATAGATCTCTTTTTATGATCTTATCAAAAGTTTAAGATAGATCTCTTTTTATAAAAAAAATTGTATTTTATTGAATTAAATCTTAACCGTTCTGAAGTCTAAATTTTAGCATCATATTTATTTTCTAAATATAACTAATTCCTAACATTCCGAGTAGAATAATTATTATGAGTTTTTTGTATTTTAGTTAAATCCTAATGGATAATCATAAATTGGTTAAGATATCTATTTTTTTATATTTTTTAAAACATGGTAAAAATGTTGTGATTTTTATCTTTTATAAAATATGATTAAAAAACTTTTGGGATGTGACCATATGCACGTAAATAAAATATCTTTTTATTTTCTGAAATAAAAATTTATTTTTTGATTTATTTTAAATTTCAAAGGAAATTAAATATTTTTAATATCACATCTGTATCTTACGATGTAAATTTATAACCTAATATTATATAAAATTATTGATCAAACATGCTAGGAGGTCCACAAATATTATTAAAAAGCCCTTTGAAAAATTTAAAAAAATTTCTTTATTTTTTTATATTTTTATATTATTATATTATTATTAAACCCACCTGGGTCAGGCCAAACCCAACTGGGTCAGGCTCAGCCCAACAAACCTGGCTTTCCTTTTTTGGGCCTAGTTTGGGCCGAAAAGGGTCTTGTCCAGATCCACATAATTGTTTCCCAGCCGATCAACTATATTAATTAATTATGCTACATACAAAATGAATTTATATTCTGCATGTAATAGTCATTGTTACAACAAAGAGATAAAAGCGTTACCTAGCTTTGGGGTGCCTAGCTGGTGGCATGGCCGGTCATGATAGAAGGTCGATGTGAGGTTGGTGGCAACATTAGTAGAAGAGTTGGTGGCGAGTGTCAATTGTTGAAGAAGAAACCTATAGTGGAGAGTAATAATGAGAGATTGGCAATGGTGGTTCTTACCTCCAGCGAGGAGATGGGTTAGTGGAGAGGTTGTGTTGTGGTTATTCATGGAGGTTCTGAGGTTGTGGTGGCTGGAGAGACGATAGGGAAAGAGAAGGGAAGAGAGAGAATTGTCGATATAAAAATAATAATGGGGAGGGAGGTTAGTTTTTTATTAACTTTGCACCCAGATTTCTCATTATCAGGGCATGAAATCTATCCGTATTTATAAGAAGTGGAAAAGAGATATTTTGTTTTAATTGTGCCAAATCTTAACCCTTGCTTTAGCCCTAAAAAAATCCTAACAATTGGCTTAAAGTGATTATCATGAACTGTAAATTTTGATAGTTAAAGGCTGTCTAAGTTGGCTTTTTTGGATCGATGCCATAACCTTTGCAGTGTCAATTGGCCAAAAAGGACCATATTGAGATGTAGTCAAATATCATGCCATCATTTTCATGCAAGTTTTGTCAAATTTGATGAAGAGATGAAACAATAAATGTCCCTAAAAAGTAACTTCTTGAATAATCTTTTTAGACAGAAATAAAGAAGATATAACCAAAACAGCGTCATTTTGGTAAAATTCAATATAGTCATTTGACTTGTGAATTCAAGATGAACTATAACCAAAACAGCGTCATTTTGGTAAAGTTCAATATAGTCATTTGACTTGTGAATTCTCTTATCACACTCTTAATTGGCTTCAAACTTCTAATTTATATGATTTTATCCTTACCAGATTTCAATGTTAGCCCTGGCGTTCAATATTTTTTTTTTCATTTTGGTCTTTAGTCTTGAATTTCTTCAATTTAATCCTTAATTGACCATTAAACCTTTAAATCTTTTCAATTTCATCGTTGATTTCATCTAATTGGGTCCCTAGAGTTTGATGTTTTTTTCAAAATGGTCTTCAACAGTGAATTTCTTGAATTTAGCCTTTAATTGACCATTAAACTCTGAAATCTCTTCAATTTCACCTTTAATTTCATTTACTTTTGTCCTCGGAGTTCTGTGCCTTTTCAAAATGGTTCTTCGTTGCAAGTTTAAACAATTAAGCTCTTAATTGACCCAAAAACTTTATTTTTCTTGAAATTTTATCTCTAATTTGAACTAATTAACTTTGTAAAAATTAAATTTGGTCCTCTAAAATTTTAATCTTTTTAATTAAGCCTAAATTAGGCTCAAAAAATTATTTTTTCACTAATTAAATCCCTAAAAAAATTAATTTGACCCATTTAAAGTATAATTATGTTCTTGCATCTAATTAAATCCTTTAATTGGACCCAAATTAATTCTTAATCATAATTAAACTTTTAATTTGACCATTGATTAAATCAAATTGGCAATTATGTTATTAGACTTAATTTCTATATAAATTCGTCTAATAATAATTTAATTTGATCTTAAATTTCCATTGTCTCTCTAGTTTTGAGTACAACAGGATAGTATAATTATGCTTCAAATTTGTCCAAAATTTCATCTTGATTTTATGCATATCTAAAATCTTTTCTCAACCATTTTTTATCTATACCACTAGTCTTTGACATTTTTAATTTTATTTTAAAAAGAAAAAAAAAGGTAAATTTAAAGGAGTAACCTAGAAATGGGTCACAACAAGTTTCTATCATCATTGTTTCCGTCTCTTCTATCCTAAAAAGTAACCAAACACTACCTAAGAGACTAAAATGTAAAATATAACATTTTATAACTAAATATAATTTTGAAAGAAATATGAAAAATGTGTAGAACTTTGTGCCCATTAAACAACAAATGAAAAAATGACCTTTTTTTTTATTAATTCCTACCATTGTTCTTTATTTTTTTTAATTAAACCATATATTTTTATTTTGTAATAAAAACATGTAATGTTACATGGAAATAATACTAGATAATTGGTTTACGCTACGTTGCGAGTTAGATTAATTTTTTTAAATGTAAAACAAAATATCCAAATGTTTATGATGTGTGTCGTCCTAAGAGCGCAAAGTTGGGGCGACCCTTCCCAGACATGTTCAAGATGGTCTTTGGTTAGTTCATAAGTCACTACCAAGTATTATGATTATTAAAAATCCTAACTGGTCTTTTAGATATTTTAGACAAATAACTAATTGTATAAAAGGAATGTATTAATACATCTAATATGCTCTACCTAAGATAAGCTATATTATTTTTCTTTGTTTGTCATGGTCTAATGGTGTTTCTATTAGTCTAGTATGGTGGGTTTACTATGATGAACAAACCCTAATTTTCTAAGTCAAGAACCTAGTCTGGAATGATAAAGTGTTCTCAATTATCATTGAGTTTTTTTTTAGATAAATTTAGAATTTTTTGCTATTGGATCAATCCAAATAATATTTCATATAAAATTCATTGTAGTTTTTATTTATCCTTATATTATGAGTGAATGAGTTTTATTACTCCCAATAATATTTTAGATATTAACCTCATACAAGTTTTTTATTGTTATATTAAAGATGAGTAGTAATAAATCATTATCTCTAATAATATTTTGGATATTAGCCATTTTATGGGGTCTATTATCCTTATATTAAAGTGAATAATATATTATCTTGCTAAAAATATTTTTTTAATATTTTTAAAATATAAGCCAAATCCTTTGAAATTTTACAAACTTGTTGTGAAATCTATACAATATCTTTTTTTAAAACATGCCAAAATATTTTAGATTTTAAAATAATTCTTGAACAAATTTTAGGATTTTTTATCATATGCAATTTAAACATTTAATTTTTTTTGTCGTTTTGGTTTTAAGTATTCAAAAACATGTAAGAAAAATGCAAACACACAAACTCATATCTTTTATTAATTTATACAACAACAATTGCATTTAAAATTATCACATGTAATCAAAATATTAAATCATTTGACTGAAAAAAAAAATAGACAACCAAAAGGAGCTGCTGGAATGCAATGGGAATGCAGGAGTGGCAAAACATATGTTCTATGCCCACCACTATTGGCTGCGAGTGGGAACACACATCATCAACATCAAAAGGGTAGAACCAATGGATTGGGTAAATCTCCTCTTACGTTATAGTTTTATGCCACTGATTAATATTACTATTACTTGCAAAAAACAAAAAAATTAACACAAACAATCAAGGTTGTTTCTCTCTCTCTCTCTCTCTCTCTCTATTAGCTTCCAACCTCACAAGGCACTACCATATAAGAGGGCAAGTAAGTTGTTTGTGGTGGTTGTAGTTTGTTGATGATAGGCTAGTTAAGAGAGGGGCAATATAACTCTCGACTAGGGAAAAAAAATTGTTATTGATAATGTTGGTGGTGGAGAGGTATTGTGGGTACTTTTTTCTTAACTGGATAAGAAGCAGTGTTGTTTTCATAGGTCACGACTGGAAATGGAGGAGGTGGAAACCGATTACCATAACTAGTGACTAATAATATAAATATTGTAATGGCTAGGTATGTTGTGAGGCAATGACAGGTTTGGATGATTCATGAAGGCACTTGTGGTGGTTGGATCACGCAGTAGTTGAGAGAAGGAGCTGTTTACTGGGAGGCTGGTCGTGGATTGTTTTGGTAACATAATGGAAAAGGATGAAAAACTAGTAATGGGTGATAACTTATAGAGGATAAGTTGTTGAGTTTGTTTAGGAGAGAAGAACAAAGAAGGCTCATGTTTCCCCTTTTAAGTTTCTGTTTTAAAAGGGTATTAATGGGTGATGCTTTTGAGAATATGGCTCATGAGAGGGTTTGGGTGACTCGGTTGAAGAAAAGTTGGTTAAGTTTTTTTTTTTATGTAGAAGAGAGTCTTTTTTTTTTCATGGTTTATATTTTTTTAATAGTTCCCTGGTTAATTTTTGTTTTTTTGTTTTTTTGCCTTCCAGATTTCTTCACCATTTTATAGGCAAAAGTTTACATCTCTTCCCTCTTAATTGCTTGGTGATCAAGTAAATTAAATTCACTTTAGTCCTTCATTTTTTTCTTGCACTTTTGATCTTGTTGTTTATATATTATATTTTTTAATTTGTTTTTGTATTTTATTTTTGAAAAAAAAGTATCATCAATGTCGATTCGATGAGAAGATTTAATCAATAATTTTAAAATGAGTGTGCTAAAATTGAACACATCAAAAGTATATTTTTTTAATCTTAAATCCATTGAAAAGATATTGAAAATGATACAAATACATTAAGAACATAGTTTTTTTGGGTTTTTATTTTTTTTTGCTATTTTTTTTTGTTTTTTCAATTTTTTGAAAAAATAAAATAAAAAATTAGGTAACAACAACATGTTTTCTAATCATTAGATCAAATAAGATACATATTGAATTATATCTTTTTAAAATATTAATACGATGATATATTAGATGATATTTAAAAAAAATAAATAATAATATATTGGATCGATTCAAGTATATATTTAAAAAAAAAATAACAATATATTGGATCGATTCAAGTTAACATATCAAATATGTGATTCGAGTCTTAAGATCATGATAACCTTATTGACAGAAAATCAAAACGTATCAAATATGTGATTCGAGTCTTAAGACCATGATAACCTTATTGACAGAAAATCAAAATAAATTATAAAAACTAATTCATAATCAACTCAATATTAAATGATAAAATAAAATAATATATATATATATATTAAATTAAAAAATGGACAAAAATCTCTTACCTAAACTAATAAATCAAACCTGCAATCCTGCAACTTGGATTGTGATATCAAAATAACCTTATAAAAAATATTATAAGCTTGATTTTAGAGTTCTCATAATTTGAAAAATCAATTAAAGGCAGGATTTTAGGGATTAATTGAAGGAATCAATTCGATCTTGCAAAATTATTTGGTATTTAGGATTGAAAAGTTAAATTAAGGGATTGATTTTCTAATTACTTGGTTAAATTGAACTTAATTAAAATAAATTATGAATTAATTGGACAAAATTGAATCAAATGAACAGAAAAAATTAGGACTAACACAAAAATTAGATAACCAATTGGTCCTTAAAAGTTTCCCTCTTTTTCATTGTAGTCCCTTGCTTTTGGATTTTTTAATTTTATTATTGTTTTAAATCTTGGATTTTCTTTTAATTTAGTCTTTTAATTGATTTTTCCAATTTAACCGCTTTTAATTTAGTTATTGATTTCCAAATTCCTATATTTTTAATCAAATTTTCCATAAATCATATTTTTCTTCTTGTTCTTGATTAAATCAGTTTAAATCCCTAGACTTAACTATTTGTTATAAATTCATCATTAATTTCTAAAATTATACAATTTTGATCGATTTAACTTCTAGTTTTGATTTTCCTCTTCAAATAAGTACCTAATTAACTTTTAATTCGGCATTATGTTTCAAATTCAACATTGATTCATTATGTTTTGTGCTTTTAGGAAATTAAGTTCATATTATTCTATTTCTCTTCCAATAAGTTGCAATCCATGCCATTTTTTATGATTTTTATAATTATTTTTAATTTAATTTGACACATGAATGATACAGATGAAAAAAATAAAAATAAAATGATTAAAATTTACTAAAATGGCACACTTTTTTGGATTTTCTTTTTTTATTTGAAATATGTAAAAATATTAAGTAAAAAATTGACTGATGACAAGGGAGGATTAAAGAATAATAAAGATGAAGAGGTGCTTTTAAGTGGAAAGACGTTAAACATGAACCACCAATGCTGGAACCGCACCCAATAGCTATCTCACGTGCCCATCCTTTACCAAAACCTTTAATTTCACGTGCCCCAACACTAAGGGTTCCACACTCTACAGCCCAATTAAACCAGCGCGTGTAGCGCGTCTTTTCAGTTTCTCCCCAACCCCGAAAAACCTGAATAAAAACTCTCATCTCCCTCCCATTTATATCAATCGCGCATTTCGCTCTCCAAACCCTAACCCTAAAGACAAAAATCCTAATCGGATCATAATCTCTTATAATCTCCATGAATAACCAAGACAATAACCTCTACGAAACGGCCTCGCAGCCAGACACAGCAACAGACGCCTACACCTTCCTTGAATTCAACACACAAGGCGAATCCGATTTTGACTACCCGGAATTCCGCTCTCCGGTGGCCTGGCCCACTCCTTCTGATTCTCTTGGTGCCACCTCCTCCGCCGTAGACCCTACCTCATCCGACCACCGTACCGCCGCTTCCACCCCCGATCTCCACTCTGATTCTCCTGCTGCGTCTCCTGTCGCGTCAAAATCTGCAGTGCGTGGCGGTGGAGCGAATAGCGGGACCCAGGGGGTGGTGGAGGGGTTAGTGGCGAGCATAGGAGGGTTGAATTTTGAAGAGACAGGAGATGATGACGGGTATGAGTTTGGGAAAGGGGATTTTACAGAGCACGCTTGCAGGTACTGCGGGGTTTCGAATCCTGCGTGTGTTGTGAGGTGTAATGTGCCGTCATGTAGGAAGTGGTTCTGTAATTCAAGAGGGAATACATCTGGTTCGCATATTGTTAATCATCTGGTGAGTATTGTTTGTTCGTTGCCTTTGCTTGATTTTTGTGTGGGGTTTTTTATTGTTATCCATGGGACTGAAAGTGGAGTGGCTACTGACTACACTGTAGCTTATAGAAATTGAATTGTTTGGAGACTCGTTGATCTGAATTCAGGGGATTTTAAAAATGAAAACGTGAGATCTTAGGTAAATGAAACTTAAAATTTGGCTCCATTTAGCTTGTGCCTTCTTCTTTTTTTTTTGAATTAGCGTAATTTGTTTTGGATGTTTGTTTGTTTTTGAGGGGGGGGGGATTGGCCAAGTAGGGAAGTGTTAAGTCTCATTGGGTTTTGCTTTTTTTGGATTTAATTGAAATTGAAGTGATTTGTTTGTAATACTACATGATTTTGAGATCTTAAAGAGTTCATTATATGTAAATATCTAAGAATGGAAATGCAAGATGTTACGAGTGAAGGGTTTCAGGTTGCTTTGGGTTTTACTTACGAGGGATATGGTAATTAGGTAATCTCACTTGCCATTTAGACTTGAAAAATGTGTGAATTGTTGATGGTATAGCAGAAAAATGTTATTGCATCAGGCATCTGCAGCTGAATGTTCATTACCTGGAATCATGCATAGAGATTTAGACTTAACTGAAATTAATTTAGAAGAAGTCTTGAGGAAACTATTAATATGACATTGATTTTAGTTTGCAGTTCATAATGAACTTTGCAAATATCCTAAATCATTTCAGTGCTGTACTTCAGAATGTATTTGTCACCTGATGCCCCCCATGCACTGCATTTTCATAGTCTGCAAAACTTAATGAAAGCAGCTGATTTTGACATTCTCTATTTTACCTGTTGGCTTCTTGGTTAATTTTGTGTGCAATAATTTTTCACATTGCTTTTGAATTGAGTTTTATTCTGTTGAATCTCCTTTTAGGTTCGAGCAAAGCATAAAGAAGTCTGTCTCCATAAAGACAGCCCTCTTGGAGAAACAATACTTGAGTGCTACAACTGTGGTTGCCGAAATGTGTTTCTTCTTGGATTTATATCGGCCAAGACAGAGAGTGTTGTTGTCCTCCTCTGCAGGGAGCCGTGCTTGAATGTTAATGCACTGAAGGACATGAACTGGGACCTGAGCCAGTGGTGCCCCCTTATTGATGATAGGTGTTTTCTACAATGGCTTGTGAAGGTTGGTAGTTGTCCTTTAATCTGTAAAGAGTTCTATTATTTCTAGAACTTAATTACATGTTGCATTTTGTAGATCCCATCCGAACAGGAGCAGTTGAGGGCTCGCCAAATTAGTGCTCAACAAATAAATAAAGTAGAAGAACTTTGGAAAACTAATCCTGATGCCTCCCTTGAAGATCTTGAGAAGCCTGGTGTTGATGATGAGCCACAGCCTGTGGCATTGAAGTATGAAGATGCATATCAGGTGCCTCGTTTAGTGATAGTTTTTAAAATTAGGTTTGATATATAACTTGGGTGAGCCAGGAATTATAACAATTTCATTATGGCTCTTAGCTAATGAGTTGACAGTTTTCTTTTCTTGCAGTACCAAAATGTATTTGCTCCACTTATTAAGCTTGAAGCTGACTATGATAAAGTATGCAATATTTTTTCTTTTTCTTGTTTTGATTTTGTTGTTCTCATGATAAAATCTCTCAGGAACACTTAAAAAAGATTGGGCAGCTTCTTATAATGCTATCTTATTGTAGATGATGAAAGAGTCTCAAAGCAAGGATAATGTCACTATTCGATGGGATATTGGCCTTAACAAGAAGCGTGTTGCATATTTTGTATTTCCAAAGGTGCCTTGCTCTTTTGCTTTTGTTCTCTTATTTCTCAAACTTTCTCCCTTGTGTCTCAAGCTTCTTTTGAAACATGGGGCTTAGTTTAACTTATTAGTGTCCAGCTGGTCTAGAAACATGGGTCTTAGCTTGGCTGACACCATCTTCTCTTTTCCTGTTTTCCATGTGCTGCTTGATTTCTGTTTTCTGCATGCTTCTGTCTGTATTTTCATTTCATTGGACTGGTGGTGTTATAGGAGGACAATGAGTTGCGTCTTGTACCTGGTGATGAGTTACGACTGCGCTATTCTGGAGATGCTGCTCATCCAGCATGGCAATCAGTTGGGCATGTGGTATGCAACTCTTTTCTGATATCAATGCTTGAAATTCTACTCACTTTCAATTTAATCCATTATTAATAGGCCATTTACATCTCTCTCATAGGAATACAACGTATTACCAAATGCTTCTAATGTTGATATTAAGTTTCTTCTCTACTATTTCAGATCAAGCTAACTGCACAAGAGGAGGTTGCACTTGAGCTTCGTGCTAGTCAGGTGCCTCTGATACTAACATGCTTGATTTCTCACTTCTGGTTTTCTGTAAGTTAAGCTGACATTAATGCTAAGTGCTATTATTTGTATCCAGGGAGTTCCTGTTGATGTGAACCATGGTTTTAGTGTTGATTTTGTTTGGAAGAGCACGAGCTTTGATCGGATGCAGGGAGCAATGAAGACTTTTGCAGTGGATGAAACCAGTGTCAGTGGGTAGGTTGGCTGATTCATTTTTGTTTGTGTTTTTTATGTATCGTGAACACACCAGACAATGAGAACTGACTACGAGTCATGCTCTGCTTTATCTCAAATTTATTGATATGTCTATCTGAAATAGGGCTGAGTAGCCTTGCTAGGAAATTCACTATCTTATACAAAATTATGTTATGATTAATGGGCAGTTATCATTTGCTTGTAGCGAGTTGCTATTTTGTATCTGTAGGCTAATATTGAGCTAGTATATATCATCGTTTTCCTTGTTGCTGTCAATGTAGAGTTCGTGTGTCGAATACGGGTTGCCATTTTTGAATTTCTATATAATGCTAGTTTCCTTCTTCAGGTATATATATCACCACTTGTTGGGCCATGAGGTTGAGAATCAAACAGTTCGTAATGCATTGCCTCGCCGTTTTGGGGCACCTGGTCTTCCAGAGCTGAATGCATCCCAAGTATGATGTCTCAATTACCCATTCAATTTCCATATTTAAACTAGTTCATCTTGTCTCATACTAGGATTTTCCTGTTCAGGCTACTAATGATTCTTGAGATGATCCCTTTACTTGAAAATCTGTGGTTTCATGTTGTTATGACAAGAAGTGCATTAGTTTCCTGAATGCTCAAAACATACGATAACGCGCCCGGGGAAGTCCCATGGATTATTGAATGTATATTGATTTCTGTCCTGAGACCCCATTTGACATTGTTTTAGTTTTATGTTGCTTCTTATTTCTGTTAGCTTGTAAAGGGTATTTTTCCTTTACTCTCTATCTGCACTGAAGTTGTCTTTATCTGTGATAAGAACAAATAAGGGTTGTCGCCAGGAGCAGTATCATATTCGATAATCAGATGCACGTCCTTGTTTTTCCATTGAATTGTTGCGGACAAATGAATGACTTCCCTGCTATTTACATGCGAGATAATTCCGTGGCATGAACTTTCTGTTGTAACATTTTGAATTTAGTGTAGCTTAGATATTTCCAGAGATATTTGTGTGTCCATAAAGAATGCAAATTGCTGTCATCACTTGTATTAACTTGCGATTTTTCTCTGTTTAGTTTTGCTTATTACCATTTTCTTGACATTCAATTGTTTTAATGGAATGTCTTTTTTAATTGTGCAATGCTGCAAATGATCCTTACCTTTCTCCACTTGATAGGTTCTTGCTGTGAAGAATGTCCTCCAAAAGCCCATTAGTTTGATTCAAGGTCCACCTGGCACAGGAAAAACAGTCACTTCTGCAGCCATTGTATATCACATGGCCAAACAGGGCCAAGGGCAGGTAGTTTATTGAAAATGCTTTCTATCAGTCTCATTTAGATACCTGACTGTATGTCTTAAGGATCCCCCCCACTCTTCCTTTAGGTTTTGGTGTGTGCCCCAAGTAATGTGGCTGTAGATCAGCTAGCTGAGAAGATAAGTGCCACTGGCTTAAAGGTAAGAAAGCAAAGCCCTGCCTATTGTTTTACTAATTTCATATTATTTTCCCCTGGCAATTTGTTGTTATGTTGTGTGGTCTCTTCAAGAGTCAAAGTATGTCATTTAAGCTCACATTAGTTGAGCCTAAATTTGAAAATTCAGAGTAAAAAAAGTTCTGTTAGAATGGACAAGAAGATTTGCCAAGAAAGAGAATAAACCATCCTCTATGTTGAAAGTGCAGATACTTAGACCAAAATAGAAGGGCTTTCCCATCTTGGCCAATAATAGTTAACGGTCCTCTTCTAGATTCCTTTAGTGACAAGCGATGCTCAGAAAATTATCCTATCCCACCAAAGCTGCTTTGAGAGGAAGTGACCGTTTAATATCTAATCCAACATACAACAACATAGCACCTTAAAAAATATTTTGCACTTTGTGCCCTCCCGAACTGAATAATTGGGTCAGCAAATCCCCTCTCTATTCAATAACATCTACCCCAACAAATAGTTGCACAGTAAGAAATAGTGTCCTCATAATTTGCTTATGACCTATTGGACGAAACTTGCTAGTGAAAAATTATACACTTTGGTGACTGGGCTGAAATGTGTAAAGTTCCTAACTTTAGGAGAGCTATTTTTTAGGAATCAACATCAAGAAAGTAGAATCCATTCTTCCTTCTCCGCTGATGATATCTTTTTAGTTGTACCCACTAGAAAAAGTTATAGTGATGCTTTCAGACCAGGTGCCATGTCCTTGGTCATCTCCAAACCTTTGAGAGCATGTTTAGGAGTGTGGTTTCGGTTGTTTTTCAAACTGTTTTTCACCTAGAAATATATTAAAATAATATTTTTTTAGTTTTTAAAAATTATTTTTAATATCAGCGCATCAAAATAATCTAAAAACATAAAAAAATATTAAATAAAAAAATTCAATTTTTTTCAAAAGTGCTTTTAAAACTCAAAAACAAACAGGGCCTAATCTCACTTCCTCTTTGACAATGTGCTGTCTGATACATGTTTTCTGATTAACCCATTTGGAAATATTCTTTAGGGTTCTGCATTTCTCTCTCCCTCTGTTTCTCCCTTCTTCTTTTTTTACCATCATTTTTCACAAATGATCCTGGAAAGGTGGTGTGGCTTTTATACTACCGGCCCTTTTTTATTTTTATTTTATCTCTATTTGTGTGGATAATTCCATGGCGAATTATATCCTTGAAGTTCTCTCTTTTTGCTATTCCCTGATGGTTGTCTTGTTGAAGGCTCAAATTAAATTTTGGAAAAAGAAAACCAGTCCTTAGAAATATATGCTGGTATTTTCTTATGATATAGTAACACTAAACAATGTATGGGTTACTATATGTTATAATGACTGTCTGGGTGCTTAAATTAAATCTTTTTGTAATACCAATCATTTAAATTAACAAGTAAATGTATTTGAGTTTTTGTTTTTGTGGATTGTATTTCCTCAAACAAGGTGGTTAGGCTATGTGCAAAATCAAGGGAAGCTGTTAGTTCTCCTGTTGAGCATCTCACCCTTCACTATCAGGTTTTGTCTATTAGTGGCACCTTGCTTTTTTGTTTTTCATTTGTGCACTTCTCATATTTATGCTTTCCTGGTATATATTCTCATTACTAGTGACTGTTACAGGTCAGGCATCTGGACACTTCAGAGAAAAGTGAACTTCACAAGTTGCAACAATTGAAAGATGAACAAGGTGGCCTTTTCTTAATTATTTGAAATGAAATTAATTGTTAATTAGCTGTTGCAAATAAGATGTTCATTTGAGGGTTGATCAGCTTAGTTTCTGGATAGACTTGCACACGCCCACACATCCATATACATTAAAATAAGGGATTACATGTCTTTGGACCTTGCTAATTTGTCACTCAATCTTTAGAAATTTATTTTTCTTACTTATCATAGAAGTAATTATATTTGGCTTCTGGATTTGAACCCATTGCTACTAGAATATGAAATAGGAATTCACTGACAACATGATTTATTTTGTATCTGTTGTAGATTTGACTTTATTCTGGTTGGATGTACAAATCTTTATATACAGTTCTATGGTGGGCCTCTGGGGCTTGTTCTAATATTGTACTCTTTCTTTCTTTCTTTTGCCTGTTGTCTGTTCCTTTTATCATCAGGGGAACTGTCCAGCAGTGATGAGAAAAAATACAAAGCACTGAAACGAGCGACTGAAAGGGAAATTTCTCAAAGCGCTGATGTCATCTGTTGCACTTGTGGTGGTGCTGGAGATCCTCGGTTGGCAAATTTTAGGTTTCGCCAGGTAGAAATGTGCCTTATTTGCCTTTTGTTGCTGGACTTGCAGAAGCTTACACTCTTAACCTTGTTTTAGGTACTTATTGATGAGTCAACTCAAGCGACAGAACCAGAGTGTCTTATTCCTTTGGTACTTGGGGCGAAGCAGGTACTTGATATTATTTTGATTTACTTGCCTGTTTTACTATCACATGCTTCAGTTTCTAATGAGAAGTTATCTGGTAGGTTGTATTTGTTGGTGACCATTGCCAGCTTGGTCCTGTCATTATGTGCAAGAAAGCTGCTCGTGCTGGGTTAGCCCAGTCTCTCTTTGAACGCCTTGTTTTACTTGGTGTGAAACCAATTAGATTGCAGGTAATAATGTTGTCTAACAGTTCTCTCTCCAAGTGTGGTCTGCGCATGTACATTTGGTGATCACATTTATCCTGGTTAGAGAAAGTGAATTGGCCCTGAGGAACTGGGCATTATCTATTGTAAATTTTCCTGTATGATGTGTAGGAGTTTTGGAGTATATGTTTATGTGATACGCCTAATAGCTTGTTTGGAACCAAATGTGTTTTGACTACAATTCATAAACTATCACGATTTTTATGTCTGGACTAAAATACTAAACCACATAATTGAATTCAATTATACTGTTTTGAATAGTTGTGGAAGTGAATTGAATTGAATTGGTTTGTTTTTGGGTTCCAAAAATTTCAGTCTAGAAGTGAGTGGTTTGTTTTTGGGTTGCCAAGATCATTCCCTCCTTGCCCATAGCTGTTTCTTAAGCAAGAGTATACTCTGTACTTCCCAAAATGCTTCCTCCTACTGCCTAGCCTCCACCTCTAATCATTTTCATGCTTTCATTTACTGTAGCTATATTACGGTTAAGTTTGCAAAGTTGAAAGTCGAGATAAGGTTCTGTTGGTAAAGGAAGAATCAGAGTAAAACAGTACCTTTATTTGTGTATGTATGAAAGCCTTATTCATATTTAACTTGATAGTCTTGCTTTTCCACTTCTTAGGCAATTTCTTGAGCGAAAAAACCATTGCTTTTGTTGAAGAATAGAAAGTGTTGGTAAAGAGAAGTTGTAGGGTTTTCGAGAAAAAAGAAAGGGCCAGTTTTGGAATAGTATTTTTGATTTGGAATTACAGTAGCAAATCAGAGGGCTCCCTCTAATTTGTTTTTTTCCATTTCTTATGATTTGAATTCCATCAATACCTTCAAAAGGGGTTCCTAACACAAGAATTGATTTAACCCTTGGAATTGAATTCAATTCCAAGGTTCCAAACAGCATGTAAAGACGTCTAGAGAGATTACTGTCTTCATAAAAAAAAAAAAAACATCATTGATGTTTGTTATTTGCTTTCACTAACAGATTTTTGGCTTAACTCAAGTTACTGCATTTATGCCAGTTTTTATGCTCCAAATTTTGGTGCAATTGATAATTTCTTTAGTCAAGAAATCTTAGCTGATGAATGCTCATTTTTGTCATCGATGAGGATGTTATCAAGAAATGCTAATTATGTTGTCTTTTATTGTTCAGTTTTCCCAAGATCCTTTTAGGTTCAATGAATTTCACATATTGTGTATCAAGGCAGATGTAATTTTGTTCATAAAATTCAGCTAGGCTGGTACTTATGTTTTCTGCTCTCAAATTTCAGGTTCAATATCGCATGCACCCGTGTCTTTCTGAATTTCCATCTAACAACTTTTATGAAGGCACTCTACAAAATGGAGTGACTGTCAATGAGAGACAATCGTCAGGCATTGATTTTCCTTGGCCTGTGCCTAATCGTCCTATGTTCTTCTATGTCCAGGTATGTTATTTGCCTAGTGGTTATATTACATTACAATCACTTTAAACAAAAAGAATAATTACTTAGATTCTGCATTTATTCTTATTTTCTCTCTTTGTTGGGCTGATAATGAGTGTGGGAATTGTGTAATCTTCCACCAAGAAGTAACTATGACAATATATATGTTTTAATATGCTTATAAATTGTTAGCTTAAAGAATTTTCCGCCAAATGCTTTTAATGCACCACAATAATGGGTCTCATTTGTTTATATGATGTTATATTTTTCCAAGGATGTGTGTTGTAACTAGATAGCTGTTCTTTAGATGGGACAAGAAGAGATAAGTGCCAGCGGGACATCCTATCTAAATCGTACGGAGGCTGCAAATGTTGAAAAAATTGTAACTACGTTTTTGAGGAGCGGTGTAGTCCCGAGCCAGGTTCTTTTTTTCTCAACTTATTTTCATAACTGCAGTTCTTTTTTACAACACATTATTTTGATCATCCATAACACTTTACAGATTGGAGTGATAACACCTTATGAGGGGCAGAGAGCATATATTGTGAACTATATGTCAAGAAATGGTGCCCTCAGACAGCAACTATACAAGGAAATTGAGGTCATAAATGGTTTCTATACTCTGGGTCTGGATGTTGTTCAATCTTAACTTGCAATTGCTACATAGTTTATGTTTTTTGCAGGTTGCAAGCGTTGATTCATTTCAAGGAAGAGAAAAAGATTACATTATTTTGTCCTGTGTTAGGAGCAATGAACATCAGGTTGGTTCTCTACACCCTCCCCCCAATTCTATAGATCACAAAAAATTATGTGGTTAATTTAAATGAGGAAGCTGAATATTCAGAGTATGAGCTTTATCTTGCACTCGTGTTCTATTTTTATAAGTTTGGGTTGTGGTCATTTATTTATTGCTCTATATTTATTATGTTTGCTTTATCATATTATCAATAATACAGTCCTCATTTCTGTATGTCGACATGCATGTTGACATCTTGTCAGTGATGGAGACCATTGTCAAACCCTTTGTTGGTAATCACATGAATAAAAAAGGCGATGTCTGGTCATATGGCTCTCAAATTGTGGTCTTAGAAGGGAGAATTTTGGTCTGGCCCTATTATTCAACATTTTAACATTTGCATTGTGGTCACCTTGTAGTCGCTGTTTCCTCTTGCCTCTCACGTGTATGTTAGAATTAAGGATCTTGGTTTTGACAGTGCTGTGAAAGCACTTGTCTGATATGTCTGATACTTAATATATGTGAGTGATTGTCAGAAGAACTTGCTTGATGGATACTTGAATTTCATATTTCAGCTATTGGAAATATTTCTGTTATGTTGAGAATTGCCAAGTCATTATACTAGAAAATGTTTTCTTGAAATTCATTTCAATTTTATCACGTGGACGGAATTTGGTGCAGTTTTATGACTTCGCGTGTTCTTATGTGGTTCACCATAAAAGCTGTATCTGGTGGTAGATAAAAACAATTGTCATTTATGATCACGTGTCGGTGCTTGACTGCTGTCTCTTTTTCTAGGGCATTGGATTTCTTAATGATCCTCGGAGGCTGAATGTTGCTCTAACTCGTGCTCGATATGGTATTGTCATCCTGGGAAACCCTAAAGTTCTAAGCAAGCAGCCTTTGTGGAATAGCTTACTAACTCACTACAAGGTATGTCTTCTTACCTGGTGTTATGCTTTCTAGGAATTCTCATTTGCTTTGCTTGGTGGAATTTGCTAATGTTAGCATTAGTATTTTGCTGAGATTGATTGGGAAATTTCAGTTTCACGTATCTGTGTGACATGCTAATAGTAGTTCTTTTTTCTGAAACTTCTTTTTTGTTTTGAATATTTCACCAGGAACACGAGTGTTTGGTTGAAGGACCTTTGAATAACTTAAAGCAGAGTATGGTTCAATTTCAAAAGCCCAAAAAGGTATGGGGTTCAATTTTAGGCAAGGGCAGCATCACTGACTAAGGATAAATTTATCCAAGTTTCTATTTTTGTGTTATCTTAGTTTGTCCAGCATATCATGAAGTACTTGTCAGGAATGAATACAAACTGATTGTGTTTGGCTATGTTTTCTCACAGATTTATAACGATAGGAGACTGTTTTTTGGTGGTGGACCTGGAATTGTCCCAAATGATAGTTTTGGGTCTGTTGCCTCAGCTAGCTCAAATGCTGATAGAAGAAACTCCCGTGCCAGGGGTATGCTACATTTCACCTGTCTTGCTACAAATTATAAATTTTTTACTTGGTGATGGCATTTCTATAGTCCCACAAGTCCCCAAGTGTGTGCATATTCAAAAGTAGAATAAGACTAAAGCACTCATTATGCAGTTAAGTTCCTCTGCTTAGATACTATGTTGTACTTATGTTAACTTGTCAGATTTTGTGTTTTCCCAAATATAGGTTCTTATTTGTCACCAGGCCCACCCAATGGTGCCCATAAGCCTGGTGTTGCTGGGTTTCCAATGCCTCGGGTCCCCATTCCACCATTTCATGATGGTCCACCTTCTCAACCATATGCTATTCCTACTCGTGGAGCTGTGCATGGGCCCATCGGAGCTGTTCCTCAAGTCCCTCCACCTGGAAGTCGAGGTTTTAGTGCTGGGCGTGGCAATGCTGGTGCACCTATTGGAAGTCATCTCTCTCACCAGCAAGGCATTGGGAATATTGGATCATTCAACTTTCCTGCCCTAGAGAATCCAAATAGCCAGCCATCTGTGGGTGGTCCCCTATCTCAGCCTGGATATGTTAATAATGTAAGCTATGGTTTCTTGACAATTTGCTTGACCTATTTGATTTGCATTTGCTATTATAGTATTATTGTGTCATTAATGTGTCTTTTGCATATATAGATTCCAGTTCAAGGGTCGAGCCAAACCTTTCGTGATGGATTTTCCATGGGTGGTATGTCCCAGGTATATTCCCTGCTATGCATGCTTAAAGATTACATTCCATGTCTTGGTTTTACATTTTTTTTTTCTTCCTAATTTGCATTTTAATGGAAATCAATTAGGAGTTCTTGGGCGATGACTTCAAAAGCCAGGGATCACATGTTCCTTACAATGTTGCTGATTTCTCAACTCAGGTATATAAGCCCTGCTATTGTAGAGATCATTTTATATGTCCTGTAGTTTTCTTTTTCCATATATTGTGCAAATGGAAAAGGAATGCATGATTTTGTCCATGTCAGAATTTTCAGTTTTATATTCCAAATGCTAGTCATACTCCAGTCTAGGTTTGCTTTGAAGTTATGCCCTGATAATGGTAGGCACTGCCAAGGCAGCAAATGAGGCAAATTGAGAAGAGTAATTTGTCACTAAACTTCAGTGTTTGAAGTTTTGCTTCAGCTAAATAGGGTTTTTCTTTGTGGTTGTAGTAGATTATGTCACTACTGTTTTGCAAGATTCATTGCAATGCCAAATTCTTTGCAGGCATCTCAAGGTGGATATGCTGTCGATTATGTTACACAAGGGGCACAAGGTGGGTTTCCAGGGAACTTCTTGAATCAGAATTCTCAACCTGGATACTCTCGTTTTGGTTCTGGAAATGATTTAATGTCTCAGGTTTGCTTCTTGACAACATGTTTTTTTTCCTTCCCTGAATCATCAATTGTCTGCTGGTTATCTGATCCTTGATGAACTGTTTATTGCAGGATTACATGGCGCATGGATCACAAGGTCTATTCACTCAGGTTGGCTTTAATGATCCCTCGCAAGATGATGCATCACAAAGCCAGTTTGGCATAGCCAACCCTAACCAGCTTCAATCACAGGTTTTTTCTGATACCTGAAGCACTAAACCATAAAGAAGTTGCAATAGGAAAAATTACTAAAACTGCAAAATGTAGGAAATTTGGCATCATATATGTTTGCATGTTGATGAAATGCTCACAGCTTTGTCAATTTTACCAGTTTTTGTTTGTCGGTATATAAACCAGTGGTCAATTTTATGTGCAGGGCTTGATGAATTCCCTTTACTCTCAGCCCTTTGGCCACTACAACACTCAGCAGCTGAATTTGCAGGCTCCACAACAGCAGCCTCAGCAGGGTCAGGGTATCCAAAACCAGAAAGTCCATTACAATGGTTGAAAAGTGAATGGGGAGGTTTTTTGGCTGTGATGGGTTATGATCTTCGCATTCAGCAACCTGGTTTGTGCTGTCATGTGTGCCTAAATATATCCCCGCCAAAAGGGCAGGAGAGTTTGCCGTGCTTGTGAGGTCAGTTTGGTATGCTTCATAAGCCAGAGAATTCAGTGGGTGATAAGAATAAAAGAGAGTGGGCAATAGCTCTGCAATGGGGTGTATGAGCAAATGTGGCCGCACATCCAAGGCTGAGAAAGAAAGGGTAAAACCCAGGTGTCCGCTTATAAAGTAGTGTGTTTTGAGAAGGTAAAGTTCCGAAGGAGCATTACATGGCATGGTTTGTTGGAAGGGTGTGGACGTGAAGACGAGAGGGGCGCATAATATAATACTTGATCTAAAGGGGAGAGACCTCTATTAATAATTATACAAAAGCAGTTGCCCCTGAAATTTTCTGTACAGCGACGGGAAAGTCACCTAGCCCTTTCCAAGCGCGCAGGATAACACATTCAGCCCTTCCTGACATGTAATTATACTCTGTTGTAAGTAGTTAGACGCTGACGAGATCTCCTATGAACCTTGTACCGTGCAGCCAGGGGGATCTTGCTCTTTGCTGGGATGTTGTTTCAAATGTGGAATTGGCTTTTACGTTAGACTAGCCTTGTTTTGAAGGCTTTGTCCCGTAGTTTTATTGGGACTGCGTGGTCACAGGCTACTTTTGGGAGGCTGATTAATAGTGGCGATGGTTTCAACTTGTAATCTTACATTTCCCGTCCTTGCTATTACTGATGGAATCGAAATTGAAATGATATCTGGATTGATCAGAAGATGCCTTCAATTGTCTAGTAAAAATACTGTATGAGAATGAGGGGGTATAGTAGTGGTAAAAAAGGAATAATAAAATAAAGTCACCACCCGGGTAGGCGGGTTGAGGTTCTCCTAGCTGCCCGCTACTCGGGGGTGGAAAAGGAATAATGTGTTAAAGTCAACGTTATTTAATGGGTTGTGCTTGTTAGTTTTTAAATTTTATACCGAAGGGTGGGAGCCCGCAATGTCTAGACTGAAGGAAGGGATTGTTATTGCGGCGGTTTTTGTTTTTCTTTTCCTTAACTAGTTGTTTTTGTTTTTTTTGCAATGATTTCGTATTATAAATTTTGATTTTATAAAAGTTAAAATATTTTTTAAATTTTATTTTTAATTATTGAGATTGGTTTAATTAAAAATTAAATTTTAAAATTATTTTAATATTTTTTTTTGAGATTATTCTAATTGATTTAGGTTATTTTTATTAATTTTATCTTTTAATATTAGATAAATAAAAAATTAATTTTTTTATAATTTGTTTAAATATATTTTTTTATAAATTTTGACTTGATTTGGCAATATATGATATTGTTTTTATAATTTTTTAAAAAATAATTTTGAATTTTTCTCCCTTAAATTATATCTTTATCAATTATTTTAAATTTATTAAATTATATTAAATTAATCACCATGTAATTTATTTTTTATTAAAAGAATATATAAATTTTAAATTTTTTTCATCTAATTCACCACGAAGATCATATTAATGATAGAGTAATCTATAATAAATAAATCTATTAATTTTTCACATGATTGGCAAGGGGATAATTTCGATGCACAGTGGAGGCTTTGTCAACTATATTGTATGGCTAAAAATCACATCACGAGCCCTTCTAACACAAGAAAACATGATACAAATTGTTTTTTATATTGATGTTTATTCATTTAAGTGCATCTTGTGGGAGACTTTTTGATGCTATTTCGTAACATAGAATAGAATGATGGAAATGAAATTGAAAGTTTTGTTTTCACTGTGTGTACTTGGTTTCCGAAGAATGAAATGAGGATGAGAATGAATAGTGTGAATAAGAGTAAAAATCAAACATGGTTCATTCCTACTAGAGAAAGTGAAAATAAAAATAAAGAATTAGATAAGATTTTGTTTAGAATGGTATATTATTTCAATCCAATTACTTCTATAATTATAGATAATGACATAATATTTTTTCCCAAAAAAAAACTATATATTTTTTGTTGTTGTTGTTGACCCGACCATCACTTTTTTTTCATCACCACCTCCCATGATGGTGGTATTAATTTTAAAAAAATTATTTTTTTTACTATTGTTATCACACCATTTAATTCTCCTCCTCTTCTTTGTAATCATAATTTTTATTTTTTATCATTTATACTACCACCATTATAAATAAATATGTTTTTTAATCTTTATTCATTTTTATTTTTAAATTGAGATATTAAAATTTTAAATTTTATTCAGATTTCTTGTTACTATTCCAAACATTGTATCAAAATTAAAATATCATTTCGGTGATATTTTTGGTTATTGATAACCAGATAATACCTTAATATCAAATATCTATAAAATTGAGATATTTTATAATTTTATAAAAAAAATTTAAATTTTTTTTATTTAACTATATAATAAAAAAATAAGATCGCAAAATAAAATACCAACTTAATACTGAGATGCTGTAAAAAAATAAATCATAAATGAAGATCAAAATATTTACCATCACCACATGTGAATCATTCTTATCTCTTTAAAAACTAAACACACTTAATATCATTAAAAAATCATCACATACTAATTAAAACGGTCTCAAATTTTATTTGAAAAAAAATATCAACTAATGTATTATTTAAAAAAATCAAAATTAAAAAAATAATAATCAAGCCACGCTTAGCACTTGGCCTAGTCAATTTTAAGTTCAATAAGGCAGATGACGCCTCCTCCGCCACATACATCATGAAAAAAATGATGCACTGTATGCATCAACAAACAATGTGTCATTTATTTATCCTCGGAATCTAACGTGACAGCTAAAAAAATAAGATTTTTTTTATTAAAAAACTCATTTTTAATCAATTCTTAGCCCAAAACACTTTAGAGACTTTGTTAAATCAATCTGTAGCCATGAAAAATATTAAAAACCACCCTAAAACCTAAAATACATTCAAAACAAAAAACAATTTCAAGCTTGATTTAATTTTTCAGGTGTTTCAAGGTAAAAGAAAAAAAAAAGCTTATTTAACTTTAACTCTCCTTATCATATGGAATTACTTAACATAAAAAACAAGAATTTTGATAGTTGGATTCCTCACCGGCATACATTTTATCTCTCTACACTAGAATCTAATAACCTCCTTTTCTCTTCCTCAACCAAAAAAAAATTAAAAAATAAGTACAATGAACTTTTGCACTCAAATTGAATTTTGTAAAAGTCTAGGGATCAATAACCTAATAAATAAGAAAAATGAGGGACTCAAATGAATTGTTGATATAAATTTTCAATATATCACCTATGTTACCGGTTTTTTCACTTTAGTCCTATTTTTTTTTTTAACTCAACCCTCTTTTACAAAAAAACACATGCAATTAGACTTTAATTTGGTCTTAAAAAGGCATGATTGTACAAAATAAATAAGGACTAAATTAATTTTTTTTTAAATTAAATTATTATAATCCACAATAAAATATAGAACGGTGAATAATGTTTTTGTAAATACTAAAAACACATGTTTTAGCTTTATGTATAATTACATTCACTTTCCTTTTATATAATTATAAAATTTGAGATATTTGTAAATCATATTTACATTTTAGAAACAAATTAATTTTATGTAAAGTTAAGTGATTGAGGCAATAATCATATTGTTTTATATTTGTCAGAAATGCTAATTTTTTCGGACTCATCTGTACATTTGAAATGACCCAATATAACTGGTCAAATTTCTTTCTAATTCAATTGATATTAAAATATTTTGGATAATTTAGTCAGAAATCTATACAAATTTTAAATTTCACATCTCTTTATTTTGTATTATTGATTGGCTTATCTGAATTTTGTCTAACAAATAATACATCATTAATACCTTTAATGAGTGGTTTCAAAAACCTAAATCTTAAGCTGTATAAGACCTCGTACTTTAACTTTTTATATTATTGCGTGTTGAGAAAATATATTTCATATGAATTGAAAATATGGAATTGTTGGGAGAATTATATTGATTATATGATTTTATAATATGAAGATTCATTATCTTTAAACTATTATTTGCCCACACTACAAGTAGTTGCTATTGAAAATAATTAAAAAAAAAAGACTTTTAAGACTAATACGAAGGCATGAATAGTGTTAGATTGCAAGGTAAAGTACTCTTCTACAAACACCCTTAAGAACTCGTTTAATTTTGTTTACAAGAGTGAAAAATTCAAACAACGAGATGACTTGTATTTACAGTGAAGTGTGACTATCATTATTTTTCTAATATTTTTATTTTATAAAAAGAGATCTCTTTTAAATTTCAAATAAAATTAGTAGATAAAAATATAATTTAAAAAGATAATCAATTAATAATACAATATTTTTTAATCGAGTGTACAAGAAAGGATGTATCTTTCTTACACACAAATAGTCCTCTTACTTCAATTTTTATAAATCATTAAGTTTTTTAATAATATTATACTAGATAATAACTTTTAAATCTTATGATTATAATTTTATAATTAAATTTAGAGCTTCCTTTTAATTCCAGGAGGAAACTTCACCAAATGATATCATGCACGTCTGCAATGAATTCTTAAAAAATCATGAAATCCGAATGAAAAAACATAAATAAACCAATTCTAGAGTGGAACATCCAATTAAAAGTTAAACTGCATATTATAGTTTTAACACGTGGTTCATGCTTCAACTTGTGCATCTAAGCTTTTGATTTAACATATCCAATTAATATGTTGATCATATAATCAATTCTTATTCAGGTAGGATATTCTAAACAAGGTTTAAAGAAACATACCTTTAAGCTTTCATATTTTTCATTTTAGTTTTTAAATTTTAAATATTTATTATACCTTGATAATTTATCACTGCAAAAATAGATAGAAAAATATCTAACTCTATATTTATTTTTATATTTTAAAAATATTTTTTATCTACTTTAAAATATTTTTAATAATTTAATATATTTTTAATATATTAATATCAAAAATATTTTTTAAAAATTAAACATCATTAATTTTATATATTTTCAAATAAAAATATTTTAAAAAATAATTATCATCACCTTCTTAAAACCACATCATGCAACTAGCATTGAGACCCGACTTGCGGTTTCCAGGGGCAATCTTGCTATTTTGACTCAAACAAGAGGGTACTTCCGAGCTAGGCGCTTTTTAAATATTATAAAAAATAAAACAGGAGTAAATCTGGGAGAGTTCAAGCCAGCTATGCAAAAACGTAGCTTGGACTCGTATTCACTCTCTCCTATCTCAGCTTGTAGAAAAAAACAGTATCAAATCAATTTAAAAATAAAAAGATATACTCCAATAAAGGTGGTAATCTAAAGTAAAAGAAACAGACAACAGTTACAGGCTTTAAGCAGGAAATAAAAGAGAGAACCATTTACGAAAATAGTGAAGCATTGCTCCTTTAGATTCACCACAAATTTCTGCTTCTTTCTCTCTCGCCAAACATGGTACTTCCTTTCTCACACTCACTGTACTCTCTCTGTGCCATTTAAGGATTCAAGTGAGTGTTTTGTTTAATTTTGGTCACTCGATGTTCGATTTTCAGTTTTGGAAGCGAGAATTGTAACGGCAGATCGTTTTCGTTTTAGTGTTTCGAAGTAGAATCTCACTTGCTCTGTTTAAAGCTCTGTGAGAATGTGAGTTTCTACTTTATAAGCTTGAATTCTTGCTATTAAAGTTTTTTTTTTTTTTTTTTGTTATGTGATGAATTTTGAATTTGCGATCAGATTTGCGTGAATGAATGAATTCAAATTATCAGATATTTTTTTTTAGCGGAAGTTCCATATTTGAAGTTTTGAAATGCTATCAGAATTGATTTTCAATAATAATTATAAAAAAAATCAAAAGCACATTATGCTTACTGAATCGCGGTTAAAATTGTCTTGTTTCGCGAAATAGAGAAGACTAGGGATGAGAATATTTTAACATTATGCAGCAAAATGTGGCAATCTAGGCAGTTGAAAATCAATTTTGAAAAGAAAAAAAAGGTGAAAAATGGTGTTGCCAGTGCCAAAGTTTCAGTGATGGGAAGATACGATAGGTATCATTTTGAACTCGACATAACATGCTGAAAGGATGCTTGAGTTTTTTTACACCGGAACAAATCTTACATAAACGAGGAGAAATATTGTTTCTTAAAACGGTTGTTGTACCCCCCTTTTTTTGTGGTCGAATGTTGTTTTATATTCTTAAGGCTATTGTTTACTTTTCCTGAAAAGTTTATTTGTGAAATGTTCTATTGAAAATAATAAAATCCCACACTTTAGCGTGCTAGACTGACTGCCGATTTCATTTTGTTGTTTTCAAATCTTATTGTAAACTCTTGGTTTACTTGACAGGTTAACTGCAACCAGGTCATAGCAGTGGCTTTTTTTATGAAACAGTTGTATCTCTGAAGAGTTGGGGCATGAATGACTGCAACACGCATGTGTATGACCACACTGAACCAACTGATCCTCAGGAACTTAAGTTTTAAGTGCAGGAAAGAAGCCCTGGTACTTTTTTCATGTGGGCGGTAATGTGTCCTTTGCTAATGCTATGGTACCCTTGCTGGTGCATTCTTTTAGGGAATTTTTGTGTGCCTGTTTTTTCATTTGGGCCAGGGCAGCATGGGGGTGGGGGCATTTGGTCAGGAAATGGGTTGCATAACTCCGGTTCAATTTCAAGCAATCACTCTAGAAGTGGCATCTCTAGCTATGCCAAGACATTAAAATTTTCTCTGCCATTAAACAGTTCTGTATCCTGTGAGGACCTAGAGGGAGTGGGATCATTTGATACCACATGCTTGGTAAACTCAAATTTGTATTTGAATTCTGATCTTTATATTTATGGTACGGGAAACCTAGAGATACTTCCACATGTTTCAATTGGATGCCCAATAGAAGGATGTATGGTGACGATCAATATGACTGGCAATGTTAACATTGGTCAATATGCAACAATTGTTGCTGGTTCAGTTGTTTTTGCTGTTGCCAACTTGACCATGGATAGTCACTCTTCTATAAATACAACAGCCTTGGGAGGATCACCACCACCCCAAACTAGTGGTACACCAGTTGGGGATGATGGAGGTGGTGGTGGGCATGGTGGTCGAGGTGCTTCCTGTTTGAAAAGGAACAAGACAAGTAATTGGGGTGGTGATGTTTATGCATGGTCAACCTTGGCTGAGCCATGGAGCTATGGTAGTAAGGGCGGTGGCACATCTTCTCGGAATAAATTTGGAGGGAATGGTGGAGGACGCATCAAGATTCAAGTAAAGGAGATTGTGTGCTTGAATGGATCTATCGCTGCAGAAGGTGGGGATGGGGGGCTGATTGGGGGAGGTGGGTCTGGTGGAAGCATATTTGTGCATGCTGTGAAACTGTGAGTCCTTGCTGTTTGAATAGACTAATTCAATGCTTGTTTGCCCTTTTTTTATGTTGTGGTAATGGATTTTGTTGTCTTGATGTTACCTACTTGTTGGATAGCTAGGCATCATTAGTGGGCTTCACTATCTTTTCACTGTCAACAGGCCTCTTGTATGAACTCCTTAAATAACATTGTCAAAGTAAGATTGAGTTTTGAATAGGTTTCTTTGTATTCTCTAGCAAATTGAAAGTAAGGTTTGTCAGTAACTACACTATTATCAAGTAACTGAGCAATGCAATAAAAAAATTCATGTCTAGAGTATTCTACTAGTGTCGTGGTGCTTGATGTGTTTTCTCAAGTGCACGAGTATCCCTATTAGATAGTCATAATCAGAATTAGGGAACCCCCATTCCTTTAGAGTACAGAGAAATAGAAAAAGTTTATGATCATCTATTTACTCTTAGAAGGTTGACTAGAAATCGATGTAATTGGCTTGGCTATTTAAGGCATGCTTGCCTACCTTCTTTATCATCTTTCTGTTATTGTCTGCTACTTTGCACAAATCTATAGGAGCCTCCATGGTTTTGCTCCCCACTCATGCACTTCTTTGGCTATAAGTTTTGAAACAAAGAGTGGTGGAGGGGGATTGGATAGATCCTAGATCTGACACTTCTTATGCATCTTTTTTTACTGTATCTTCTCTTGCTTTATGCTGTCTAAGAGGTTCATCCTCTTTTTAATCCTCATTCAAGTTAGCAAGAAATAATTTTGTAGAGTATTTTGCCTTCAATTCTGTGTAGCTTGCCGCAATTTGATTTGAATGTCTGGTTCAGTGACATTTTAGCAGAGCACATCCTCAATCGTATTTTGACCACTCTCTTTTTGGGTCAAAGGTTACCATGTTTTATCAATTAATGGCCATTTCTTGTCCCTTTAGGTCAAGGCAGTGAATACAATCAAAGGTTACAATAAGTAGAACAAAGTGGGTCTTATCAAAAGGTGTCTGTATAGAAGGTTGTAGGCAGCTCAGATTCTGCATTGTTTGTTCTATCTTTCAAGTAAATTCATGCTATTGTTGTTGTCATTTTTATAATATTTTTTATTTTTTTGTTCAAAAGAGATGAAAAGATAGGATCCCTTTTTTTATGCTTCTCTTACCGTGTTTAAATATACATTTTTAATTCCTTAAAAAGGTTTTGGAAGCTGAATGATGAGATTTTATTTACTGGAATTTCCTTTTTTTGGGCTATTTATGGGGCATTAAACTGTTGAGATTTATACTTGATGCATTTCTTATCATATCAGGATTAGGGAAGAATTTTTCTATTTTTTGGCAGGTTTTTTTTTCCTGGTTAATTCTTTTATGCAACTTCTTGCATCGTCTTTTACTTGAACAGGAAGGGATATGGAACTATCAGTGCAGCAGGTGGAAGGGGATGGGGTGGAGGTGGCGGTGGAAGAATTTCTTTGGATTGTTATAGCATACAGGAAGATGTGAAAGTTACTGTACATGGTTTGTTCTGATCACACATCTGTATCTAGTAGTATAAGCAACTTTAGTTAACTTATAATAATTAATTCATGTGCAAGAGGCTTCACTTGCATATTGGAAGTTCCTTTTGATAAGATTGAGCCATTTACCTTCTAGTCTTGGACTCAAAAGCTATGACTATACTTTTGTTTCATTGATTTGATAAAAAGGTGCCAAGCTGATCTATACATGGCCAATAGGGTACATGTGAAACCAATAAAGTTTTCTTGTTATGGGACCCTGCCGGGTGTGGTACTAAGAGTTCTGTTGGCTGTGAGCTGAATTCACCACATTTCATGTCTCATTTTCTAACTAGTATTTCTAATTTCTTATGCATTCATCATCTTTTTATTTTTGCTGTTTTTCTCTTTTGGAAGTCATGAACCTTTTTTTCTCTATCTTCACCGTGAACAACAGCTAATGTGTTTTTCTGTAATTATTATCATGTACCAAGAAGATGGAACTTTTGTTGGTTTGTTTTGAGATATGTTTTGTTGTGGCAGGTGGTTTGAGTATTGGCTGTCCTGGGAATGCTGGAGCAGCTGGTACATTCTTTAACGCAGATTTACTCAGTTTAAGAGTGAGCAATGACTACGTGATGACAGAAACAGAAACCCCTTTGCTTGATTTTCCTACCACAATTCTATGGTCAAATGTTTTTGTGGAGAATTATGCAAAAGTTTTGGTCCCCCTGGTTTGGAGCAGGATTCAGGTTGTGTAATCTGTCTTTTCATGCATACATATTTTATTATTTTGTTGAATTGGTCTCATGTTTGTGCTCTCTGCCTACTTATGACATCAACAAGTTTTAGCACCTAGTATTCACATAAATTGTCTCCCAAAGTTGATCTTTCCTCAAAAAATGGAATTGATTCCTCAAGTGAAGCTGTGTGCTCTAACTCTTAGATGCACTGGTGCTTTGTTGGTTGTTCTCGCTGGTAATTTATGACTAGGTTCTTCTTGAAAAGATAACATGCCAATGCATTGTTAGTTCTCTGCAACCCAATATCTGACTTGTCATATGGGCCAGACATGAATGCAATTATGATGGTGAATTTTCACCTTGACATTACATGCCAACAAGCATTGTAATCCATTTTCTGATTGATTTTAATTTAAAATATGTTTCACTGGGGTTAATCATCATATTGATTGAAAATGAAGAAAGGCTACTTTCGAATTTGATTGATTTTAATTAAAATATGTTTCACTGGGGTTATCATCATATTGATGGAAAATGAAGAAAGGCTACTTTTGAAATTAATATTTTTTAATTAAATTTTAATCTTATAGGATTATTCAAGTTCAAAATTTGGTTACGTTACATCTACTCAACATATGTTTATTTCTGTTGTAGATTGTGAACGATGTTAACTGAATTAGCACAGCAGGTTTTCCTTTGAATCCATGCTTGTTTTAGCCTGTGTCATTTGTGATTTTTGAAGCTTGAGTTAATGAAGAAGTTGATTAATGAATCTGTTGTAGAATTTGGTTTAGAAAGTGATAGGTTCAGGAGACATCTTCTCCTAGGAGATTTCATTAACTTCTCTCTAGTAGACACTTTTTCTTGGACTTAAAATGGAAAACTTAAATGTATATTCTTGACCCTTGTTCTGCCATAGTTACCTGTGGATGTTGTCATTTTTTGTACTTTTTGAGTAATTATCCTTTGCTTTCCAGTGGTCTCTGAGGAGAAATTTGGTCTTCTGTCGCCTCTGTTTTTCATAAAGTGTTACTGTCATTGTTTTGCTAAGATTTGTTCAAGAAAAAGAGATAGATATGAGAAGGTGAAGAAAGATGCGAGAAAGATAAAAGGGGAGAGGGAAATGAGAGTTTAAAAAGAAAGGAGGCTGCAGATTAGGTTAGTTCACAATGTACATCATCTACACACGAGCATGAGATTACACAACAACCCTTGACATTATAATATAAATACTCCCCACAACATTCCCACTCAAGATGGAGCATAAATATCTCTCATGCCCATCTTGCAAGTGAAATAGTGAAACACCTTACTACTAAGTCCCTTGGTAAACATATCGGCTACTGATTCTTAGACTTTACAAAGGGAATACAAATAGTCTTATTATTCAACTTCTCTTTAATAAAGTGCCTATGAATCTCAATGTGCTTGTGAGCAATGTTGATAGTTGCTTTATTATCACAAAATAGTGACATGGGATCATCATTTGTTATTCCTAATTCATGCATCAGATTTTTAAGCCATAGGAAGTCACACAATCCATGAGTTATTGCTCGATACCCTGCTTCTGCACTAGATTGTGCCCCCACATATAGCTTCTTGCTCCAATGAGACTAGATTACCACCAATGAAAGTACAATATCTTGATGTAGACCTCATGTCATCTAGTGATCCAGTCCAAACAGCTTCAGTGAAGGCCTCTACCTTCAAATGTCCATTATTGTTAAGATTTATTTAAGAATTAGAGAAAGATATGAGAAGGACAAGAAAGATGTGAGGAATAGAAAAGGGGAGAGGGGAACAAAGGATGAAAGGAAAGGAGGCTGGAGATTAGGTTAGTTCCCAACCTGCACCATATATATATATATATATTTGAGAAAGAGCATGAGATTACATAAGCACCCTTGACATTACAATATAACTGCTCTTCACAACAACTGTTCTTTGCTGCATGATGAATTTCACACCTTCTGAAGAATAATACTTTAGCATTGTTTCCAACTCCTTGAATGTAGGTCAGAGGCCAAATTAGTTTATATCATGGAGGCAGCATTGTCTTTGGATTGTCTGAATTCCCAGTATCAGAATTTGAGCTTGTAGCAGAAGAGCTTCTGATGAGCGATTCTATCATAAAGGTATCTTTGTTGAAGAATATTCATGTCTCTTTTTTGTTTAGGCTGAATCAATATGCATGCGTTTGTCTTGAAATGATCCATAAACAAAACCTTTAACAGGAAACATGCAACTTAAGTTACACAAACAGATATACACTCAGAGCCATATGCATCATGCACATGTAGATAATGTTATTTGTGTGAAAACTGGATACATGAATCTGTAAGATGTTTACTAAGATTAAAGAGAAATGAGGAGTAGAAGGAAATGGATTTCTTGTTTTTTCTTTCTTTCTTTCATTTTTTTTGGGGGCAGTGTTTTGGGGGGGTTTTGCAACGATTTGGAGTAGATTGAGGGTTCTGTTTTTAGATCCAAATTCCTCTCGATTCTGTCATGCCAAAAGTTGGATACACTGACATCTTCAAAGGGACTGAAAAACTGAAGGTCTGAAGAAATGCACCCTGCTTCCAAGTTCTTGAAAACATTGATGCATGAATTGGGGATTGGGGCATCACCTCCTCCTAGTTGGCAAGAAAAATGAATATTGAAGTCGTTTTGCAATTTGCACTGGATAGATTATTGACAAAGAGAAGGAAAAAAATAAGATCTAATTTTGCAAGGGCTTAAATAAGGACAGTAACTTCAACTTATATCCCATTCATGCTATTGAGAGAGGTGCATGTTTGGATATGCAATGAGACCAGGGAAATCTTGTGTTGCTTTGCATTATGACTAATGCCCAATTTTGTATTCTCTCGCCTTTTGTCAATCAACTTATTCCATCAAAATAAAATATTACTAGTGCACATAATAATTTGTCTAGTTAATTGAAAAAATTGAGTCTAGCCTTTAAATTACTACTCATTTATTGCAGCCATATTCCCTACATATTCTCATCAAGAATAAATAAGAGTGAATACAAGTAATTGAACACTGTATCTCATTAATGAGAAAAGGAAAAAAAGTGAAAGAAATCAAATCAAGTGGGTTTTCAAGTCCCTTTGTATGCCAGTTTTTGCAGCAATAATTAGCGTGTTTTAAAGACTTTTCTCTTTTAGGATTGTTTTGAGTTTCTATGCTTCAAATAACTTCTCTTTTGGGTTTGGTTTGAGTTTCCATGCTTCAAATATCACATAGATCTATCTGTATTTTTTTATTGAGGACCTAAAATCTTCCACGTCAAAAAATGAAGGTATTTGGTGCATTTAGAGTTGCTATCAAAATGCTACTCATGTGGAACTCCAAAATTGAAATAGATGGAGGTGGAAATACTATTGTTACTGCTTCTGTCCTTGAAGTCAGGAATCTGATTGTTCTAACGGTACAATACTTTCAACCTCATTGTTACAGTTTATCATTTCAAACATATATCATTTTTGTTTTCGAATTGAAAATTTGAGGCTTCTATCTGCTTGTATTTGCAGGCAGGCTCTGTCCTCAGTTCAAATTCAAATTTGGGGTTATATGGTCAAGGACTACTGAAGTTGACGGGTCATGGTGATACAATTAGAGGCCAGCGACTTTCCTTGTCTCTTTTTTATAACATAACTGTAAGCCATTAGCATCTGCATACATTTGATCCATTTTTATTTATGGTGCAGTGTTTTTCTTTAAGGTTTATTGTAACCTTTGTGCCATGTTGAAACTCAAATTGCTTTAAATATTAATAAATTTTCTTAGCATGTAATGTGCCTGATACAACAGTCATGCAACACACATAGATTTGTAAGCTCTACAACTGGGAGATGGTTGCAAGGAATTGTTTGAGACTGTTGATATTTCCCACCAAGAAGGTAGCGAGGACAAACATTTGAGATTGATAAAAAGATGTGTGGTTGGATATGGGCCCTATGCCAAAAAAAAAAGTCACAATGAAAACTGTGTTGATACATTGGAGGACATAAAAAAAACTATCCTCTCCAACCTTGTCTTTCTTTTTCATCTTTATCTGTAATATTGTTAGAAGCTGAAATTCTGTTGCAGTTTTTTTTTTTATATATATAATGGCATATTGGGTCTTCTATTCTATTTGCTTTTGCACTCTTACCTTGTTCAAATTAGAATATAATTAGATATGAATTCCTTTTATTCTTGGATGTTATGAACAAGAAATTAAGGGTACTGGGTGACATTTCAGGATGATGTCTGAGAATAGTTCTAATCCCATAAGCGCACTGTTTGTTTTTCGAGATATGAATGGGAATTTTTTTAAGCCTTGTGTGACTTTTCTGTCATTGCTATAAGCCTATAACTGCTTATGACTCGTCAAATACAGGTTGGACCTGGTTCTTTAGTTCAAGCTCCATTGGATGATAATGCTAGCAGAAGTTTGTGAGTATGAACTTCTATTATAAGTACTGGGATATCCTGTATTAATAACATTAAAGCATCATGATATTCCCTTTATCATTGAACCATTTATTTTATTTTATTGTTGTTGCAGGGTTACAAAATCACTCTGTGAGAGTCAGACATGTCCAATAGATTTGATAACTCCCCCAGATGATTGCCATGTTAATTACACACTGTCGTTTTCACTTCAGGTAAGAGTTAAATTTAAAGCATGAGTATTTCAGATACTAGTATATGTCTGTGCTTGAGGCAGATAGAAAATGACTTTTTGTGCGAGGCTAATCTTGCTCATGGTTAAGTATATTTAAGCAATAAGGAATTAAAGGAATATAATACAGGAGAAGTTGAGAATGTTGAAATATGAAACCAAGGCACCCTTAATATAACGTCAAAAATTATTGTCATCATTTACATGCAATATCAGCTTAAGTTTGTGACTTTTGCAGTTTTGTGGAGTCATCTAAGAACAAGTTAATGTTTCAACACAAAGACTGGCTGGAAATGTCACGAAACATCACATTGCATGCCACTATCATAGATAAATTGAGCAGCTTTGGCATCGGATAGCATATATTTATTCTTAAAACCTGTCCATTTATAATGCCTTCAGGGTAGAATTGTTTGGTACCGCCACAATATTAGCTGAAGTGCTGCATTTCTTTGGAAACCATCTTTATATAATTCACATCAGCATATATTGAAGCATGTGTTCCACAGTAGCTTCAGCATGTCATTCTTGGATTTTTCTTAGTTTCAGGGACTCAAAATTTTCTTTGATGTCTCATCAACTATCTCATTATGATGGAAAGAGTTATATTTTTTTAACAGTTTAGACTTCTTCGATCAGTTTATGAACCAAGTCGTCATTTCTCTTATATGTCAGTGTTGGCTAGTCCTTTATCCTGTGCAATCTTTTAGTTTGCAACTGTTTTATGGCTTTAACTCTTATTTTGATTTATCAGCTCTTCTGTTTCTATCAGTGTTTATTATGAAATCTCTAAAAAAAAACATTCACTTTATATTTGGCAGATTTGTCGTGTCGAGGACCTCCTTGTAAATGGCATTGTAAAGGGGAGTATCATCCACATCCACAGGGCAAGAACTATCATTATTGATGCTGATGGCTTGATTACTGCATCCGAGTTAGGTAGTAAAGAGTATTCCCAGCATTATTCCATTGCTTTCTTTGGCTATTTCATGATCATTGTTCTAATTGAACTGCTCTTTTTAAAGAGCATCCATGGTGTACAGTTGTATATTTTTAATTCTAATATGCAGAGCTCCTCTTCAGGTTGCAGTGGTGGCATTGGGAAAGGGAACTATTCCAAAGGAGCTGGTAGTGGTGCTGGACATGGGGGAAGAGGGGGCTCAGGTTGTTTTAATGGGATTGTGAGTAATGGCGGCAACAAATATGGTAAAGCTGATCTTCCTTGTGAATTGGGAAGCGGAACCGAAGGTCCCAATCAGTCCTATGGCAATGTGATTGGAGGGGGAATGATTGGTAGTATTTTCATAAATCACAAGTTTAGCAATAAAAGTTTCATGTTTACCTCACGTTGTTATTTTTCTGGCTTACAGTTGATTGTGATGTTGAATATTTCTGAACAGTAGTTTGCTTATCCATAGATATTAGCAATCTTATTCTGTGAGCTTTGAGTTTCTTCACATACAGCATACTGCTCGACATCATTCCCAGATCATGCTTGCTAACTTGTGCTTCATGTTTGTTAGTGATGGGATCCATCCAGTGGCCGCTGTTGAAGCTCAATCTTTATGGATCTTTGAGAGTTGATGGTCAAAGCTTTGATAAAGCATCAATAAATAGTAATGCTTCTTTGATTGGTGGACTTGGTGGAGGTTCTGGAGGGACGGTTCTTCTTTTCCTGCAAGAGCTTATGCTTGCAGAAAACTCATGTTTATCTGTTCGTGGGGGCAATGGAAGTCCTCTTGGTGGTGGAGGAGGTGGGGGTGGAAGAGTACATTTTCATTGGTATAAAATAGACATTGGGGATGAATATGTTCCAGTTGCAATTATAAGTGGTTCAATTAACAGAAGGTATGCTTCTTTTTTTCTTTTTATGTGCGTGTGCTTGTCTATGTATATATATTTTTAAGCTAACAAAACCCAACAGAATCCATTAAAAGTCACCAATAAGGTGCATTCTATGCACGGAGAGCTAAACATAGATATAAAATTACAATTCAACAAGCTCTGGCACCATGTACTCCTGTGAAGATTTCCTTGTATGCTAGAAATAAAGAGGGTAAGGCTGGCTCTTCTCTGTCAATGCTGTTTTGTGCTGTTACTTGCATAACAAACTACAAAATTACAATTCAACTCACTCCAGAACCATCTACCCTTGTGAAGATTCCCTTGTGTGCTAGAAATAAAGAGTGTAAGGCTGGCTCTTCTTTGGCAATGCTGTTTTGTGCTGATACTTGCATAACAAACAACAAAATAGCTATTTGCAAGCTCATAACTCTTTCTTCTAGAAGATCCTCCACCTCTTGAGCAATTACCTCTTTCATAGAGCTTGATGGGCAGTACCACCCACTGCTTCAACACCAGCTCCCAATGGCACTCCAGCACCGAAACAAAGTATTGAGAGCTTATAATGATGGAGGGCCTAGGGTTTCTTTGTTGTCTCAATATAAAGCACATAATACTTCTATTGTGAGACAATATTGAATGATAAATTAACAAATTCCTCTTCTCTACGTCCTTCTCTTTTGTCCTTTTCCATCTCTTCGTCTTCCTCCTTTCGTCCATTCCTTTTCTTCTTTTCTCTGTTCTCCATGAGATAAGGATCCTTAGCTGCTTCCTTACAAAGAGATCATTGATCCGCCAACACCTCTCCACTCTCTTTTAGACCATTAATGGTCAAATCTTTCTTTAGTTGAGATAAAATGGGTTTACAAATCATACCTTTCTTATATCTAAATCCTCACATTCTTTTTTGCAGGTGATTATTACCCCTTTGTGTAGCTTTCACTTTGTTATAGTATCAGCCGTTTTGTTTTATTAAAAAAAGAGAATTGTAATCCAAGCCTTCTCCTATACAGAAAATAAAAGAAGAAGTGCATGATAAATTAATAGAAATAATTAGAATTGTGATTCAAGCCCTCTCCTATACAGAAAATAAAAGAAGCAGTGCATCATAAATGAATAGAAATAAGTTGGAGGGGACTTTGATTTTCTGAACTTCACAGGAAATCACTCGTATTGGACATTATTTCTTCTGGTGAAGCTTCACAAAAAGATTTCATATAAAATAAAAATAAAAGTGAAAGTGAAATGTTTCTTTTCTGTCTGTTATCTTCATACATCTTCTACCACTCTTCATGATTTAAGTTGAAAGAAATTGTAAAATAATGCTCCACTGAATACCCATTCATTGGCATGGAAATGATTACTCGCTCCACAAATGAGTATCCCATGCTTTGAGACAATTGTTAACCTCAGAAGAACTATTTTTCCTCATGAAAGCCAATTACTGGGGTGCTTTATTGAACAATGTGAAAGATTTGATGCCAAACTGTGTTTTTGATCACTTTATTTATCCAAACAATCTTTTAAAATATTTCCGAAGGTATATTTAGCATTAACTGCAGGCATTGTTTGTAATGTTATGATAGCCTGGATTTCTGATATAGAATAATAATTTTAGTACATGGAATTTTATAAACAAATTGGTTAAAATCTTAAAAATTTCTCATGTGATTTGTGACATCATAGGATAAACCTTTTGCATAAACTATATTCTTGATGTACTTGCTTCAAATTTATACATGATCAGGCCATGAACATCATTATCTTCTCTCAATTTTACAAATTCAAACCATGATAGACATGTTATGTGATATGAAAGACAAAATTCCTATATAGAAACAACCATGTGGACTTCTTCATCAAGGCTGGAAATGCTGATAGTGCTTTTCACTTTTGCCTTCTCTCTCTTCTCATGCAACATATATTGACAGTTTATCATAACTAATTTTCTGATAAGGGAATATCTTTTTTGGAGTTGCATATAACAAATAAGTTTACTTCATGATGTCCAACAGTGGAGGTGCTGGAGAAAATGGTGGTCTTTTTGGGGAGGAAGGCACGGTCACTGGGAAAAAATGCCCAAAGGGCCTATATGGTACATTTTGCAAGGTACTTTTTGTTCTTACACAGCCTTCATGTGATTGCCTGTTGCTTCATTCTTGAAGTTAATGTAATCAGGGCAGTTTATAAGCAGGGCCAGGTCAACAATATGTGCAAGTCCTGCATTTTTTTCAGAGGATTTTGATAATGTAGAGTCTTCTAGGAGCATTAAGAGGTTTACTGTTGTTTTCTTTAGCTTTGAGTCTTTAATTTCTTGGTGCTATTTGGGATTCCTAATTGTAGGACTAGGAAAAGCCAAATAATCTCTACAAACTTGGTTGTAACCCATGCTTTGGACATTTGATTATTATGCTGAAGTAATTTCTTTAACCTAAAATGGTTGGCATATGAATAATTAAATATGCAAAAATATTATAATGCTTGAAAAAATGGACTCAGTGGAATCTGGGTATATGATATATTTTCAACAAATCATGTAAAGGCTATAAATCAGGACAAATGAACTCTGAAGTCTATTTTTCAAATGCACAAACACTTGCGAGTCTAACTAGCATTTTAGTCTTAACTACCATTGAAGTGTAATTTGTCGTTGTTACAAACTAGTAAATTTTTTTTCCTTAATGATAAACAAGAAGTTGCAGAATAAGTGTGGACGGGTAGAATGGATGTTTCTAATTTTTCACGCTAACATTTAAGGGATAGCAGGCATGTGTTTTATTTTTTCTGGTGAGAGCTGTACGATAAAGTGAAAATCTACTCCATCATACCTAGTGCAATTATATACACTACTTATTCTAATCCTATCAAATTATAAAAGGAATCATGTGAATAAATTCTCTGAAACCTTTTTTTTTAAGCTCATACCATCAGTTAAAAGAAACAAATACATAAATATGTACACAAAATGAAGAATTTGGTACCAAGAATAGAAAGCATGAATGAAAAATTTTCACTGGACCACTTTCTCCCCCCTCTTGATTAATAGATTGTTTGCTTGACTTGTCTCCTATAATTTAATGATGCAACTTATCTGTAGGAATGCCCTCTCGGTACTTTCAAAGATGTCGATGGATCTGATGAAAGTCTTTGCATTCCTTGCTCTCTTGATCTTCTCCCTAATCGTGCAAATTTTATATATGTTCGAGGTATTTTTTTGTGTTGTACTGATTGACATGAATCTCTGTATCTCTACCATTTTTTAACTGATGTGGTCTGATATTGAAGACATTGGTCACTGCAGGGGGGGTTAGTGAACCATCTTGTCCATATAAATGCATATCTGACAAGTACAGGATGCCAAATTGTTATACTCCTCTTGAGGAGCTGGTGTATACATTTGGAGGCCCTTGGCCTTTTGCCCTCATTCTGTCTTTCCTTTTGGTGCTTCTAGCTCTATTGTTGAGTACAGTGAGAGTCAAACTGGTAGGATCAGGTTCTTGTTATGGTGCAAGTTCAGTTGAGCATCAGAGTCATCACCACTTTCCACATCTACTTTCCCTATCAGAGGTACTTCCATAGTGAACTGCCTTTGACTACATAATCTGCAGCTATAAATGGGGCAGGATACAGCACTTTGACAATTCACATTTGATTCTTATTTTAAACCTAGGTGCGAGGAACTAGAGCTGAAGAAAGTCAGAGCCATGTCTACAGAATGTACTTTATGGGTCCCAATACTTTTAGGGAACCCTGGCATCTTCCTTATTCTCCTCCCAATGCAATTATTGAGATTGTGTAAGTGATTCAAGGATACCAAAGGATGGCATAGTTGACTATTTTTTAATATAATGTTTGGGGTTAATTTTTTATGCCTCAGATGATTTTGATTGATTACATATTTTCATGCAAGATTCTTGACCTGAGTAGACTAAATCCACTTCTTGATGCTGACATGATAAAGTAAATTGTAAAGCTTTTCTTATTTTGTGCTAGTTTTCCATTTCTGTCCTGTATACCTTTATCCTATTAAAGTTATTCTTGCACTAAGATATGGTCCTTTGTGAGTTGTTACAATACATACCTGGACATTCTTTGCAAGCCCTAGAAGTGAAAGCATAGATTGTGCGATCCTCTACCATTTCCATCTTATTCTATATCTACTAATTATTATTTACAATGGGAAAACCTTTTTGATCTGCTTGCAGATATGAAGATGCTTTTAACAGATTTATTGATGATATAAATTCTGTTGCTGCCTATGATTGGTGGGAAGGGTCGGTTCACAGTATTCTTTCAGTGGTTGCCTATCCTTGTGCATGGTCCTGGAAACAGTGGCGGCAGAGAAATAAAATTCATCGACTTCAGGAATATGTCAAGTCTGAATATGACCACTCGTGTCTTCGCTCTTGTCGATCTCGGGCCCTATACAAGGGGATGAAGGTTTGACTTGCTGTCTTAACTTTTCAGTTGCCCCATTTACAGAACTTCACTTTTTTCCAGGCCTTTTAGTTCTCAATACTTCAGGCTAACAGCCACTTCTCATTTTCTCTGACATGATACTGGCACCCCTTTACTTTAGTACTGTCTTGCTGGTGGTTTCAAACCGATAAGAAATGCTCATGCATGCAATTATGTTTTTCTTGTCTTTTGAAGCTCATAATTTGTTCAAAAAACAATGTATTGAGGAGCAAATTCTGTGTTGTGAAGCTCATAAAGAAATGCTCATGCATGTTAAATGCTGCTATCCTTGACCCATGAGCAATTGCTGTGTTGTACCACCCCACTTTAATTATTTTTTTATGGTTTTTTTAAATATAAGTTATTTTTTAATTGAATGGAAGGAAAAAATATACAAATCTAAATAACCTAAGTACCTCTTATATGTTGACAAATTATACGTGCATATAGGTTACTAGTGGTTTTCTATTTGGTTTTAATTACTCATGAATTGTGAGCTAATAAAAAAATTAAAACGAATAAGTTGTGCATGTCTTAAAGTATATAGAAATAAGTAAATTTTGTTTTGATTAGTATGTTATGCTGAAGCATGACATATTTGGGTCATGTTGTGGTAGTCCCTATTCCGTGTTGGCAGAAGCTCATCATTGTTTGAGGCTCAAATCACTATATTGTATGGTTAAATCAGCCCCTCTACATGAAAAAGGCTATAATTGACCCCACAAAGCATTTTAGACCAAACAATTGCAGTTGACCAATTGCTAGCTAATTAGATGTTTACTCGTGTCCTAGTTCCACTAAAAATAGGATGAAATGGTCCTGTTTATATGGCAGAGAGGTCAATTTTACCCATATTCATGTAGAGGAGCTGATTTGACCAGATTACAGGGACGCAAGGTAATCCATCATGAGTTTTGTCATGCTGGTTTGTGTACTATAAAACTATAGCCCAGCCCAAGCAATTTATTGATGCTGTCCATTGGCTGGTCCGCTATTCTACTCCTTTACAAATTAGGGTGTTTTGTAGTGATTCTTTTTTGTTTAGGCTAATATGTACGAACACCTCCTGAACTATAGGCCATTTTAATTGACACCTAAATTGTTTTTTCTTATTTCAACCCTTAAACTATAGTGTTTTTATTGACATCACTTCTATTACATCCCTTGTATTGTTCATTAACTAGCATGTGAGTTGTACATGTTTACTTGCAAAATATCATAAATAATTGGTGAAATAACATTAAAAAAATTAACCTCTGCTAATGCTATGATAAAAATGTCATTTGTAATGTAATAAGATTACAAATCAAGAAATTAATCCTTAAAAGTTTTTTGACTTCTAGTATTTTTTAAGGAAAACATGTGATTTGCATGTTATATTTAATGGCTATACTGGACAAAATATGCCAAAAGGGGTGTCGTCAAAACACTCTCATTAGAGGGTTGAAATTAGAAAAAAATCAATTCAAGGGTGTCAATTGAAATGGCCTATGCTTTAGCTTTTCAAACAGTTTTTATCTGCGTTTTCTTTTTAAGTGGGAGAATACCCCCCACAATCATATTGTCTTTATACAAGTGGCAACTGATGCAGGTTGGGGCAACACCAGACTTAATGGTTGCTTACATTGACTTTTTTCTTGGTGGTGACGAGAGGCGTTTAGATATAGTGTCTATAATACAAAAGAGATTTCCCATGTGCATAATATTTGGAGGTGATGGGAGCTATATGTCACCTTATAATCTACATAGTGACACATTATTGACCAGTCTTCTTGGTCAGGTATGACTTTTGATGTAAAATAAGATTAAGCACCATGTTATTTTTCTCCAAAGTTCTTCTGACATGCAGAAATACATCATTGCAGCATGTCCCTGCAACTGTCTGGAATCGTTTGGTGGCTGGTTTAAATGCTCAGTTGAGGACTGTGAGGCATGGATCTATCCGCTCTGCTCTACTTCCTGTAATTGATTGGATATGCAGCCATGGAAATCCCCAGCTCGAGTTCCATGGAGTTAAGATAGAGCTAGGATGGTTCCAAGCTACTGCTTCTGGTTACTATCAGTTAGGTGTCTTAGTAATGGTTGGTGATTATTCTCTCCATTCTATGCACCAGTCTGACTGCATGGATAAAAGCAATGGTGAATCAGCAAGGTAATTTTGAGAATTATAATCTATAGTGTGTTAGTGTCCATGCTCTCATTGAATTTAGACCAATTTGGAAGTTTCAGAGACAGCCACAAGAGATAGAATAATGTTTGATTAGTCAAGTTGTAAAGAGAATTTTCCATTAGTTCTCAAACTGTTTTATTTAATGTCTTTAATTGGATAGAGGAATATGCTTTAAAAATGGAGAAAAACTTGCATTTGTGAAGTCAGAAAAATCTTGTATCCAAAGCAACTTGCAAATATATTATTTTTATGGAGTGATCCAAACATCTTGCTGCAATGACTTCATTGTTCTTGAGTCTTCGTATGTCATCTTATACAGTTAGCCATCATTCATATTACAGGAACAATCATTCATATTACAGGAACAATGCCTCATGTACGAGCAGAAGTCTTAAGCTGCTTCAGCAAGAGCGGCCATACTTGAGTCAAGCTTTATCTCGCAAAAAGATGACGGGGGGAATTAATGGAGGTCTTCTGAATGAAGCTACCTTGAAATCTCTGGATTTTAAAAGGGACTTTCTCTTTCCACTCTCTCTCTTATTGCATAATACTAGACCTGTCGGTCGCCAGGTACTGGATGGCTATTCATTTAGCGCCTCTCTCTTGTTTTCCTTTCTTTATTCACCAAATGCTTCTATTCTTTTATTTATTTTTATTTATTTTTTATTTCAGGATACTCTTCAGCTTTTCATTACCATCATGCTTTTGGCAGATCTTTCTGTCACACTTCTCACATTACTTCAGTTCTATTGGATTTCTCTTGGTGCTTTCCTTGCTGTACTGCTTGTTCTTCCTCTATCCTTGCTTTCTCCATTCCCTGCAGGCTTGAATGCCTTATTCAGCAGGGAACCTAGAAGAGCCTCACTTGCTCGTGTATATACATTATGGAATGCGACATCCCTGTCTAACATTGTAAGTTGTACCAAAAGTGCTGTGCTTTTCTCTCAAATTACTTGCTAGTCACAATTTGCTACTGTGAAGCTTCTTGAGAGCTTTGGCTTTCCAAACAAGTTCCCTTTTATCCTAGTTGCAATTCAATAGAGTGTTTTAAATCCATTAGCTAAGGCAGAAACTTCACATCCCATAATGCCTTCAACTTAAATTACTTACTCTGCTTTCATTCCACAAGTTACTTTCTTTTAGTTGACTTGATAAGCTATATAACAGTTTCGTTGCTTCCTGCAGGCTGTAGCTTTCACTTGTGGTATTTTTCATTATGGATTTTCTTCTTTCCGACCACCTGATGAGGAAAACACGTGGAACATTAGAAGGTGACGTTTTATATCTAATCTGTCCTAAAACAAATGGTTGGAGTGTAAGATGAAAAATCATAGCTGCCAGTCAATGCAAAGTAATGTGCTGCGTGCTGATGCAATATACGTGTGTACAAGTCCCTAAGCATTCACTTGCTCAATATGAGGAAGTTCAATGACAATTATACCTGTCTTATTAAGTTATACTATGGATTACTAAATGCTTTGCTGTCTTATCTAATGCTTGTTTTGGATCAAAGGTGTGAAATAACTGGTTTCATTTGTTGAGCCTTTTTATTCATTGCTGGCGTAGATATTGATTTCATATTGAATGATGGAATTTATTTACTTACTGCATTTGGAATTCTTAATAATCTGCCCCTTGGTTTCTCCATATGTTGGATTTGAAGAAAGGCCACACAAAGATTTGGCGCTTGCAGAAAGAAAATTGCATCAGTGTTCTCAAAACCCAACAACAGTAACATATATATTTTATGCAAATTCTTCTAGTTTTTCTGAACTCTTTGGAAAAGACTCTGTAGATGGTTTTCTTGGCTGTCTTTTTTTTTTTTATATGTTGAACAGAGACAACGGATGTGAGATATAGTAAAATCAATCAGAATCATGTGACTTGATCTGTTAACTTTGTCTTGATATGTCTGAAAGGTGACGTGATCTATTAACTCATAGCCAAAGAGACCATCTCATCCTATGTTGCATGCCTTAAATAACACATTATTTTCCAGGAACATTGACCTGCGATCTCTTAGCCAAGCTGGTTGGAATTGATTAACTTACCTTTTTTCATTCTTTGCTTTTGTATCTTTTATATTTTATCAAGAATCTGAAAAGCTTTTGATCATGTTTGCCAACAGGGAGGACGATAAATGGTGGCTGTTGCCAACTATCCTTTTGCTGTTCAAGTCAGTACAAGCTCGTTTTGTAGATTGGCACATTGCTAATGTAGAAATCCAAGACTTTTCTTTGTTCTACCCAGATCCAGATGCTTTTTGGGCCCACGAATCTAGTTCATGATTACATGTCCTGGTTTCTCTGTCTTGTCAACAGGATCAGGGGAAGAGGCTTTCACTTTTTGTGTCAGGCTGTTTCCCCAGGTGAGACAACATTGCAGTGTAAATTCGTTCAAAATTGTGTAAAGCATTGGTTATAGGTGTGCAGTTTGCCGTCTTTGTAAGTAAAATGCCACAGGAATTACTGGAGGAAAAATGTTGAGCAAGATAGATCAGTCGTATAGTAGATTTTTTAGTTCATTGTAGAATCTACACTAGATTAAGATTATTTTTTTGTAAGAAACTGTTTTGGTTTGCCATACCACCCCTTCGATCTCTTTCCAAGCCTTATGGGTGTAATTGCAATTAAGTTAATTGAGTTAAATTAGAGGTTTAATTGTATAAATATTAAAGTTTGATGGGAAATTAGAAATTTGATTGAATAAATTTACAATCAAAGACTAAACTGAAAAAAACGCTTGAATATAAAAATTGAAATTGATCAAATCATGGGTTAAATAAAAAAAAATTAAAAGTTGATAGTTATAAACTTAAAACTAATTATCAAAATGAAAAAGATGGTATCTTAGAGGTTGTTAATTGAGTTTGATAGAGGTGAAATTAAATGAAATTAAAAGTTTGGAAACAATTATGAGTTTAATTAAAAGAATAAGGACTCAAATAAAATTTGTGAATTTGAAACTAAAAACTCTAAATGATGTAGATTTAATAAAACGAATACAAATGACACATTCAATAGATTGAGTTCGTGTTATAGAATAATATAAATAATATCTTTGAATTTTATATAAAAGTTTAAGTTATTAGGTTGGAATGGTTACTTGATATGATATCAGAGTCTTGATGATCAAGTTGTTATGAATTTAAATTTTACCATCTTTATTTATTTGATAAAAATCAAGCAGAATATAATGTAAGCCTGTGTAAGTTTCAAGTCTGAAGAGCTTTCACTTGACAGAGTATGTTAGAAAATAATATAAATCATATCTTAAAGGCTCATTTAAAAGTTTAAGTTATTGAGTTGAGATGATTCCTTATCATTTTGTTTTAATATTTTTATCTAATTAAATTAGTAATTTTAAATAAATAAATATGGGAGTTGCAGACATCTAAATTGTATAAGGTTGGATCTAATTGAAAGATGTGAAATCTATATACCATCTTGAAGTGTTCTCAAGTGATGATGATGTTAAAATTACTTTGATGAGACCTTGAAAATAAACAATTTAGTTAGTTAACCATGATTGAACTATATTTTTGCAAGAACCAATCTTTTTTTTGTATGCTCATATATAAAGACTTCTAAATAGGTTTTTATCACCCTAAGGCCAAGATGTCAAAAATGAATTTAAAACCTCTTAAAATTCTAGAAAAACTTTATGAATATTCTTTTAAAAAGAGAGCTAGAAAAAGAGAAAAAAAAATTTCATAAGAAATTTAAGTGTAAAAGTCTAGAAGTCTAATATAAAAAAAAATTAAAATTTGAAAGTATAGTAGATTGGTGAGAGATAAAACTTTTTAAAGAAAAGCAATGCATAAATTATTATAGGAATAATTAAGAAAAAAATCTTTTAGTTTACTTATATTTTAAAATTACATTTATTTTTTTAAAAATTACACTTTATACTGTAGAGTTAATTTATATGTTAATAATAATTTACATTCTCAAGCTCGCGTTTAAAAAAACAAAAATATTTAAAGAATTGTTATTATATTTTATTGAATGACTAAATAATCACTAAAATATTAATATTACAACTTTTTTATTAAACTAAAAATCCCTAGCCATGGTGACTAGCCTTTTCCTTTTCTTTTTTCTTCTTATTGTTCATTCTTTTCCATTTCAATCTCTAGCAAACCCACAATAGAAAATTGAAGCCATTATTTTTGGACGTGACTGAGTTATTGGTGGCGCCCTTTCCTGCCTTGGCTAATTTGATTTGCAAGACTGGCAAAGAAGATGAGTTGTTTGGCCACAAAATATGATCAATTGTTTTTTAAAATGACTGAAAAATAATTAATTTTGGTATGGTCGCCGTGGGTCATTTGAAACTATTAAGAGTTAATAGCAAGAATTGGTTTTTTAAATTCATCTTTGAAATAAATTATTAAGCACAATTTTACGAAAAAGCATAACTAGCCTCTCTAGAGGAAGCAAAGCTCCCACAAATTATAGGTTTAGGATGAAATAAATTTTAAGCCCTAGCCTGTATATGAGATAATAATTTGGTTTGTTGAGAAAAAAACTTGATGGATTGTTTACAAGAATAAATTTCAATTTAGATTACAGTTTTAAAGAGAAAAGTGAGAAAAAAAATAAATCAAATGAGTTAAAGGTAAAAAATACTTCAAACTAATGAGGCCAAAATAATATTTTTTTGTTCGAATTTTTAAATTAAAATTACAAAACCAATTAATTGTGAAACTCATTTGTGAATCCTGACGGGGCTAATGAAGAATTTAATGCTTCTATCCATTAAAATTTTTCAACTAAATTTCTCTTCTTCTATGGTTTTGTTTTTTATTCGAATGATTGTAACTCTGCATTTTTTAAATCAAGTGTCTCTATTTTATCTTTTTGTACTTTAAGTTTTGATTTTTAATATATATTTTTTATTTTATTGTATATATCCCAACTTGAGTAATAATAAAAATCATATAGTTGCATATTATTATTACATTTGGTTTCAAGCTTAGAAGGCAAATCTAAGGACTTAACTCGTAAAGAGGCAATAATTACCTCGTAAACAAGCATAATGTGGATTCTACACAAACCTGAAACCAAATAAGTTCACACAGACTTATCTCTTATAATTCCTAAACAAGAATTGTTCATATCGAAGTACATGAAATAATTATATTAACCGAATAATCAATTACAAGCCTATATATATTCTCATTAAACCTTAAACAATTATGTCCAAATGGTCATCAGTTCTTTTAAGTCTTACTTCAGCCAAAAAAAAAATATAGTTTACTCTGGTAATAAGCTATTTTGATTCATAATAATAATTATTAAAAAAAAAACAACCTAAGAATTTACTTAGGTTATTGGCCAAACTTACTTTTGGCAAGAAACTATTGCTAGTTCCCCATGATAAATCGTCATGATTTATTATCACGCGAACTAGTAAAGTTTCTTGCCAACAAGACCGAGAGAAAACATTATGTGGTCAAGGCAGTAAATAAAAACATGTAAATAAAATAGTAAAAATAAATAAACATATGAATTGTAAAGGAAACAATAAACCTAAGAAGATAAATTGAATAAAAGATAAATCATAAAGCTATAAGTAATTTCCAAAGAAAAATTCAAGAAAGTTGAAAAACATGAAATAAATTGCATTGAAATTGTGTATCGGGGCACGCCGAAGAATTATAAAAAACGTGTTCTTTAAACACTATTCTTCTGCCCTAGTTCTTGTCTAAAAAATAGGAACCTTGAACAAGAAAATCATTCATTAGATCATTCAGCCCATGAAGCGTTCTAGGCCCATTAAGCAATGCCCAAAACTTCGATCATCTTGATCCTTTATACCAGTTCCAATTATGTTATAAATCCTTTTATCAAGAAAATCATTACCATATTTCAACAGTACAGTGATATCACATATCCTTTTGTTTATCGGGGGTATCGACATGTTCTTTTAAAAAATTAACTATATAACCGAGAATTTAAGATAAATTATGTTTAAGCCCTTAAGTTTTTATTCAATTGCACTCCAGTCTCAAACCATAAATTATGTTTAATAATAGCTTTAGGAAAGAAAAGAAAATAAATTAATGAGTTTTTAAAATAAATTCCTAATAATGTGAGTCTCTGAGCAGAAAAAAAAATATTTTCATTAATAATAAAAAAATTCCAAATTGAGAGATTATAAGACTCTGCTAGATTTTGTTTATTAAATAATAACAATAATAATAATAGAGAGAGAGAGAGAGAGTCACGCGCGAGGCACGTGAGATAAAATCCACTGGTGGAAAATAACTTACAGCAGTAGGCGAGCAATTCCACTATTCGGCAATTCCATCCTCCGAGACGCAGGTAGACCTTTATTTCTTCCAAAAGCAGCCGTCAGCAGCAACAATGTTACGCCAAGCATCACGCCTACTGACTCGATCCATCGCCACCACTCAACAACCGATTAGGGTGATGGCGGCTCGACCCATGTCGACGGACTTGCCAGCCACACCCGTCGAGGACTCAGCATTTGTTGAATCATGGAAAAAAGTGGCACCAAACATTGATCCACCTAAGACTCCATCGGCTTTTATGAAGCCTCGTCCTCCTACTCCATCTACTATTCCTTCTAAGATCACTGTCAATTTTGTTCTTCCATATACATCAGAGCTCACCTCCAAGGAGGTTTGTTTTCTTCCTTTTATTTTCTAATGTAGGGTTTTACCTCTCTTTTTATGTGTGTGTATCAATCCACATGGGTTTTCTTTGGATTTGGAGATAATAGCATTTGATTTGAGTAATTTGTTTATCATTTTGATTTGGGATTTTCTTTTATCGAGCTGAAATTTATTTCCGTTGTTGTTTCCCTTGGGGTTTATTTAATTGAATTATTTTTTTAATTATGCGATCGATCTAAGATATTTGAGCAGTATAAATATTGTAGCTTAACTAAGACCGGATTTTTGTGTTAAGTAAATTAGTTTAAAGTTTGACGTACCGGTTGGTATTCGTTTGCGGGCGGGTATTTTGGCTTGAATTTCTTCTTTTTTTGATGCACACATTGGCTTGCATGTTAGAAGAGTTATAGCGTAAAATCCATGTTCTGCTTTCTTTGGTTTAGAGGTTTGAGTAGGGGGGGTTTTTTCTGTGTACCATCTTGTATCCTTGTCCGCTATATTCCTTTCTTTGACTTTTATTCTGGTTTTTTTTACATTTATGTGCCTTGCAGCACCTTCAATTTTCACTTTAACGATCTAAAAGGCTTATGAAATTAGAGTTGTTTGTTTGTGTTCACATTTGGTTTTGTGTTCACATTTGGTTTTAGGATCATCTTTTGTTCTGGATACGTTGCTGACAACAAGTAAACTGGGATGTCTTTTTCTTCACCCAGCTTTGAGTTTATTTTATGTTGAAACTACAAATGATGTTGGGTTAGTTTGGGGCAGCATTGGGTTGAAATCTTCATAGTTATGCTGATTGAGCAGTCACTGTCCATGCAGCCCCAATTCAATCAATTTGTTATTTAGTTTACTGATATTCTTGATTGAGACAAGTAAAGTATCTTGATGTTCTTTCTTGACCAGAATTTGGTACCTCTGGTACTAACTGGGGCAGTGCCCAACTTCTCTTTAAACT